GATTTTTCACTATGAATTACAGACATGCCATCTGGGAACTAATTCTAATTTTTTTATTTATTTCCAGATTCAATCAAAGGCTCGTTATTGCATACTAGCGAAAGTACACTCTTTCACACTCTAATTACATATTTAAATCTCTTGGCAAACTAAAAGACGTAAGTGACATTTTTTTATATTCGAAATAAAATGTATAGATTGTACTAAATGTCAGATTTTTACTGAGCTACAGTAATTTTGCTCAAGATAGAGATTTATTAAGATCACATGTTATACAAACAAGAAACTCTGCTTCTAACCACAGGTCAAGAGCTGTCATTCCAACCACACAACTTTGCGATGATGTTTGTGAATGTTTGTTAGAACTATGATAAACTACGACTGATAACAATGGAACTTGCAACCATAGTTGGCTAACAAAGTTTTCAGGAAACGCACCTCTGGTCTCCAAAAATACCTGAATGTACCCGTAAACGCTGAACTAATATGGGTTTGGTCAAAAGCGCTCTGTGTGTTGTAATGGCACCACAGCAGTGGCATTGCTCAAACAGCTCAGTACTTCCAGTAACTCTGGACTCTGTATTTCTAAAGTGATGACACTAGATATAGTGAAATTCACTTAGCAAGAGCTGCATTGATGGAAGGAGCCCACACTCCATTAGAGATGTGTAATATTTACTCACCGGTCCATTTCAAGAGCTTGCAGAAATTCAGCACTCTTTGCCTGTCTGTAATCAAATAAGCACAAACACACAACCACCCTTAAACTACACAATAGTCATGGACATAGCATGATAAAAACTGACAGCAATAGCGAACAGAAACATTTCAAAAATTGTGCCCTCACCGTTTGTTATCAAACAGGAGGTCAGAGATGCGGCCCATGATAACGCTCTCCGCCTGACGTACTTTATCCAGCATTTTCAGCCTTACTGCATCCTGGGCTTTCTGCTGCTGAGTCACACCTAACGCTAACCGTTCCTGCTCCTGAGAGAAAAGCACAAAGAGGTGTATTTTTGTTAGCTAGATAGGTGTAGTGACTGAAAGAAATGAACACTTTTATTCAGTAACAATTTTATTTCATTCAATGATGCGTTAAATTGATCAAATGCATTAGTAAAGACATTTATAATGTTACAAAAACATTTATTTCAAATAGATGCTGTTTTTTAAAATTACTTTGTTCTTATTCATCAAATAATCCTTATGATTTCCCCAAAAAATGTAAGCAGTACAACGGTTTTCAACATTGATAATAATAATAAATGTTACTTGAGCACTAAATCGGCATATTAAAATGATTTCTGAAGGATGATGTGACTGAAGACTTTCAATGAGAATAGAAAAGTTATTTTAAATTGAATTAATATTTTACAATATTAATGTTTTATTGATTTTTAATCCAATAAACGCAGCCTTGGTGAGTACGGAAGTGAAGCTCGCTCAAATGTGTTATATTTATAAACCAGAAAGTTACCAATTTGACAGACATCAGGACGTCCTCTTTACGGGAGTTGTTGAGGAGGAGGAGCTGAGTGTGTTCTCTCTGTTTCTCTTCAAGATCTTTCTCAAAGGTCAACTTTTCCAGCTGTTTCTGTTCCTAGTGGAGAAACAAAAAGTGAGATGTAAATACTACTTCACTGGGCGATCCAACAATAACAAAAAGAAACTAAACCAAACATACCTTTCTTTTCTCATAGTCCATGAATTTGCTCTGCAGTGTCAGTGAATGTAAGAGAACAGCAACTCATTAGTACATTAACAGAAACAATGCCACAGCAACACTTTTAGGCACTGTATGAAATGAGCGATAAACAGTGAAGACTGACCTGCCAGGCTATCTCCTCACCATCAACACAATCCACCTCCTGCTTCCTTCCATCATGTTCCAGCACAGGCAGAAGATACTGGGATGGAGGGCAATAATCCAGATCCATCTCTAAACCACATCAAAATGATTTATGAAATGAACAAACCAGATGCACAGAAAGACCTTGTTCTGTCACAATGGACCGCAGGTTAATATTCAATTAGATCTTGTGCATAATCTGTACTGTATACGGTCTGCATCTAACCAGGCTATAATAAAAGATCTGTACCTAAGCAGAGGTAGCGCTGCACTTCTTCTGTGCCACCCATGCACACCGACGCAGGTGGATAGCTCATAACCTGTGCGTCCAAGATCAAGCTCTGCACACCACATATAAACATACAGACATAAGTATGTCTTTGCAGTGGTCACATGACCTATAAGCTTGATATGATACTACACAAATACGCTTCAAAATCTTCATAACCATTTAACATACTTACTTCCAGAGTCCGAACTCTGGCCAGTTCTTTGGGTAATTCTCTGATGCTGTTCTCACTTATGTCCAGTGAACGCAGGCTGCTCATGCGACCCACAGACACAGGAATCACAGTAAGGCAGTTCCCTGTTAGCATCGACACATTTCGTTCATTTAAGTGGTTTAGGCTTTTATTAACATTAAGTTTGAATTGAAATGTGCCTAAAAAGCCCAAACTACACTCTTTAATAGAAACCTCAAATGACTGACAAGTTCTTACTAGCTTTTTGAAACAGGTTAACAGCTGTCTGGAAGACATTTAAAACATTTACATTAATGAATATGCAAAAAAGCACTAAACGAACCTTTCACATTAAGTGTCTGTAGATGTTGTAGATCCCCTACAGAGTCTGGCAGCTGTTTTATGTGGTTCTTCTCTACATTCAGAACCTTAGATAAGCAATAAATATAAAGGACACAAATGATCAATTAAAACATTTGTTTAAAAGAAAATTCATGCCCTAGAAGATATTCACTACCGTTCAAAAGTTTGGGGTTGGTACAATTGTTTTATTAAAGAAGTCTCTTATGCTCACCAAGGCTGCATTTAATTATTTAAAAATACAGTAAAAAAACAGTAATATTGTGAAAATGATTATTACAATTTTAAAAAGAACTGTTTTCTATTTTAACACATTATATAATAATTAGTCCTGTGATAGCAAAGCTGAATTTTACTCCCAGCAGCTATTACTCCCTTCTTCAATGTCACATGATCCATCAGAAATTATTCTTATGCTGATTTGCCGCTCAAGAAACATTTCTGATAATTATCAATTTTGAGAACAGTTGTGCTGCTTTTTGTAGAAACTCTGATACATCCCCCACCACCACAAAGCTTTTACTGAAAGGATTTGTGTCCTTGCTGAAAAAAAAAAATGCAGTAACCCCAATCTTTTGAAAATGAGTGTAGTCCATGACATCAACTTTTTTTATATACAATAAATAACTGTACCTGCAAGGACAATAGCTGCCCGATGTCATCAGGAAGTGATGTGAGCTTATTTTCATGCAGATCCAGCACCTTAAGAATGGACACATGGAGATGTTGGCACTGGAGAGAAGTTCAAGGTGGTTATGTGCTCAATTAATGTCTCTCACCTTTAAGGTTGTTAAGGCACCAGTGCAGCAACCTTTAGGAACAAGTGACCTCAAGTCATTTCCATGAAGAATTAACACCTGCAATGAAAGGGGAAACTGCTGTCAGAAGTCTGTTTGTTCTGACCAACAACAGTTCAGAGAAAACAACCCTGTAGTAAACTGACTCACTTTTTTCTGGAGCACTTTACACATTGAGAAGACACTGGAGGGAACCTGGAGACATGCATTTAAAACATGTAAAAATTGTAGTGACACGGATGGAAGCAGTCGGGTATCTTGCAATAACTCATCCACTTTCTGTTTTTGGATGAAAATTTCTCCAAAATGTGAATAATGAATGTCATTCATTTGGGTTTGTGTAATTCACCTCTGTAAGTTCACAGGCAGAAATGTCCAGAACATCATCAGCACCTGCTTCTTTAGCCTGCAAAAACATAGGCATACGTGTTTGGGTCTGAAACAGTGCATTATGACAGTAAGATGTAGCTAAAAAAAAAAAGAGGCACTGCTAATACATACAATCTCTGACATAAGCAAATGTGGGGTCGTTGCAATGTAAACACAACTATAAACTTACCAAGCAAAGCTGGTTCTCAAGGCGTTTCTTGGAATCCACACTGGGTTTCTTCTTTTTGGAGAACAGAAACATCCTGGGGCTAGTGAGATTTTGTTTGTCTAACGTTAGTTAACTTAAAACCTTACAACACCCACAAAAGCCACTGGATGTTAGCTTGACACTTGACTGACTGTGGTGTTGACAATCCCAAAGAAACAGATTGGGACCGCATAAACAAATTAAATTAGGACAAGAACGCAGAAATACAAACGTGAAATTACAAATTATAATCACTCGCGAAAAATAAGACTATACAATACTTCGTTTTCATTATCAATTGATGGCTCATGGATATTGAAAGCAATCGAAATGAACGATATAAATAAAAGGACATACCTTACGCGAAACGAAGAATATATACCGTCAGTGCGATAGCTAAATTATTTTGTCAAAACATGGGCTCCTTCAACTGTTTCAAAATCGATTTATTGCCCCTTGTTGTTGCCTTGTATACTCCCTCTCTGGCAGTATCATAGGGCAGTACACACACACACACCAGGAACAACTTCTCGGATGTTGTGAATGACGTAATGCGACCGCAGTGTCATAGAATACACTTAGATGTCGCCTTGGCTATGGAAGTTCATAAGAACGAATGCGTCAATAGAGCCGCCATCTTGAAACAGGGAGCCCCTCCACTTTAATGCATCTACGTCAATGTAGACAAAGGTCTAACGAAAATAAAATCACCATAAATTATCATCAATACGAATATCAGTTCGTTCCAACGGTCAGACATGTATTTATCATTGATTCCAGAAAAAAATGTAAAAAAAATTAAATAAAAAAAAAACATTCTTCCTAGTTCAGATTTTATTCGTGAACATCATGCGCAGCACAAAAGACCCCTGTTCCAAGATGGCGCCGGTGCAGTATGAAAGGTTGCTCAGATCCCAGATCTCGCGGTACTTCGTGGCCTTTATAACTGTGGCGCAACACTCTTTCTGTCCTTTCCTTTTTCACTTTGGTGGTGAAGGTGCAACAATTTTCGGTCGTCCCGAATTCGGGTTCATCCGACACCCTCACTAATTCAAATTGAACTGAGCTCAACTTCATCTGGTACACAATGCCTCCTAAATTCGACCCCACCGAGATTAAAGTCGGTATGTCTGGATTACGGTAACCATTTGATGGATTTCTGATTGTGTGTGAGAGGCCATGCCTCCGCGCAGGCTTCTCGCGTGCTAGTGCTAATAAATTAGTAGGGTGCAAATGCTAAGCTTTTCCTGTCCACATAGTTTAGTTGAAGCTTTTAAAAATAATAATTTGGATGTACAACATGTAATTCAACTGAGAGGCGTGAATTTTAATTTCTTGTAACGTTACGGACAGCGTCTTTAGGATTACTCGCTGTTACTTTAACTAACCTTACTCCGTGCACGCGGAGTTTTATTCGATGTGATCTGACGTTTTGAAATGTGTAAGTTAACTTCTGCGGTTTGAGCGCTCTCGGGGATATTAAGGTTCATGGGTAGCTAAGTGTTCACGTGCTGCTGAACATCACGAAGCTATAACATTCTTCAATGGGCATAACACAACGTTATTTGTTTCAATGTGGACACTTGAGTTTAACTTTTCTTATTTTAAACCGAATAATGGTCTGTAGTGTTTATTGTCCTGCTCTTTATATCATAAAGCAGCCTCCCGCCACTGTGCTTGTCTGTAAAAGTGTCTTTGTACAATCCAGTGGAGGCTCAAAGTGACCCAGCTCTAGGAAGCAGGGTGGCCCCAATCTAATGGGCAACTCTGTGCCGAAAGACCTGGAACAAACTGCGTCAAATTCGATATATATGTACACATTCCAGGTTCTACATAAATGCTAAAATTTGACCAGCTAACCGAGTTTTAATTATAGCATTTGCAAATGGTTTTTTTTTTTTACCCTTCAAGATTATGTAGATATCTGCACTAATAATGGAAGGATAAAACATTTGAAAGTTTACAACTATTTAACTTCTGGTTCTAGTAAAGCAGAATAACAATGCATACCTCAGGGTTATGAGGGTCTTGACCTTTCTCATCTCTGTGATGTCTGATGGAACTAGAAGGCATCTTTCCTATTTAAGCCAACAATGGTGTTAAAGGGATACTCCACTTTTTTGGAAATAGGTTAATTTTACAGCTCCCCCAGAGTTAAACAGTTATGTTTTACCATTTTTGATTCCATTCAGCTGATATTTAGGAGAATATCAGTAACCACTTTCTGGTTCCATTGATTACCATAGTAGAATATACTATGGAAGTCAATGGGACCAGAAACTGTCTGGTTACTGATTCTTATAAATATCAGAAAATCAGCTGAATGGATTTAAAATTGGTAAAACCCAACTGTTTAACTCTGAGGGAGCTATGAATTTCCAAAAAAGTGGAGTATTGCTTTAATATAAGCCATGGTGAATCTTATTTTCTTCATCCATTTATCTCTGAAGCATATTTTATTAGATTGTGTTGGGTTTAACACCATGGGAAACCTTTTATTCCAATAATTCTTCTGAAGGTATTTTAACCAAGTTAAACCAAATGTTTTAGTTTATGTTAAGAGAAAGAAATGTAGTTTTATTCTACAAGCTAGCATGCTTAAAAATACACCGCTACAATTAATGATGCACAATTTTAATCAAGTTACTTTTTTACAGCTTATAGAAATATAGGGCACACGGATTTCTGAGAATTGTTGAATGTCATGAAAGTGTATTAATATTATGCATTCACGAAAAGCACACTAAGGCTGTTTTCCCCCCTCCAGTGTACATGAGATGCACAGGTGGAGAGGTTGGTGCCACTTCCTCGCTGGCCCCCAAAATTGGACCTTTGGGTCTTGTAAGTATTGCCACAAGTTTGGTCTGTAGTGTTGCTTGTCCTGCTCTTTATATCATAAATCAGCCTCCCGCCACTGTGCTAGTCTATTCAAGTGTCTTTGTACAATCCAGTGGAGGCTCATAGTGACCCAGCTCTAGGAAACAGGGTGGCCCCAATCTAATGGGCAACTCTGTGCCGAAAGACTTGGAACAAACTGCTTGTGTCACAGAACATTGACTCTGTTCCATGCTGTATGCTCATCTTTCATTCTTGCTTTCCTTTAGTCCCCTAAAAAGGTGGGTGATGACATTGCAAAGGCTACCGGTGACTGGAAGGGCCTGCGAATCACTGTGAAGCTGACCATCCAGAACAGGCAAGCAGCGGTAAGCCCTTCGAAGTCTGTATTCTGGCTTTTGAGGTTATCTAGTCTTCAGACACTCATAGGTTTTGTTGTTGTTCCAGATTGAGGTGGTGCCATCAGCCTCTGCCCTCATCATCAAGGCCCTGAAGGAACCTCCCCGTGACAGGAAGAAGGTCAAGAACAGTAAGTAGCTTTTATGCCACCTCAATACACTGTTGTAGGAATCGTGTCTTTGTGTCCTGACCTTTTTGGATTATTTCGAGCCTCCCGCCACTGTGCAAGTCTGTAAAAGTGACCGTGTACTGTCCAGTGGAGGCTCATATTGACCCAGCTCTAGGAAGCAGGGCTGCTCAGCTCAATGGGTAACTCTGTGCCGAAAGACCTGGAACAACTTTAGTTGCATTTCTTGATCAAGTCACAGTAAAAATTTGTTTCGCTTTACCAAAAAGAAATGCACTTATGAACTAAATGTCCTTAAAAAAAAGTTAAATAAAAAAAGTTATGCTGCACAACCATTTTAAGTCCGGAGAAATGATACTGACCGTTCAGCTTTGCCATTAATAACAGTAACATTTTATAGTAAATTAAAATTAGATGGTGTAATTTTACTACTGTGTTTTTCAAAACATTGTCCTTTGTTAAAAGGACAAACACCTTCAGAGTGTTGTCACTATTGTTCATGCAAAGAAACTAGCTAAATTCAGCGATTAAAACACTGACACGATAAACGAGTTACGATATTCATAATAACATTCTTTTACTGAATTAAACAATTTCATAATTTAACTTTGTAAACTTCATTACTTAACTGGCTACTCTCTGCTGTCTCAAATTACATATTTTCCTGTCGGCCACCGTAATGTCTGTTGGTTGCAATTCGCAGCCTCACCACAAGATGCTGCTAAAAATTACACTGCACCTTTTACTGGAATGTTTTCAAATGTCAGTGCCTTTTTTTTGTCTCAAGATGCACATCAGTAATGTTTTCTAAGGCATGTTTTAAAAAAAAAAAACTACTTGATGGGATACTTCACTTCTGGGAAAATGATTTTTTTTTAAAAATGGGACATTTATGTAGAAGAAATGTGTCTGAGAAAAGCCAGAAAATTTATTTTACGCTTATGTGGATGAAACACGATTACTCTCAGAATGCACTTGCTTCGCTGCCCTAATACTGGTACTAGTTTGTAACTAGCGTATTACATATCCTGATGTATCTTTTTTTCCCTCTTTTAGTTAAGCACTCTGGAAGCGTCACTTTCGATGAGATCGTCAACGTTGCCCGTATCATGAGGCCACGCTCTATTGCCAGGGAACTTTCTGGTTTGTATTTACTTAATACTTAAGCAGTATTAATTGATTAGCCTCCCGCCACTGTGCAAGTCTGTAAAAGTGACTCTGTACTGTCCAGTGGAGGCTCATAGTGACCCAGCTCTAGGAAGCAGGGCTGCTCAACACAATGGCTAACCCTGTGCCAAATGGCCTGGAACATGTTAGAATTAGGCATGAATGAGTTGTTGATTTAAAACTATGGCACAAAGTAACCTTTCCCTTTGCTTCTCAGGTACCATCAAGGAGATTCTTGGCACAGCTCAGTCTGTGGGCTGCACCATTGATGGTCGCCCTCCCCATGATGTCATTGATGACATCAACAGTGGCAAAATTGAGTGCCCATCTGTAAGTATTAAATGCCATTTATGGTTTTTAAGCACTTCAATGTTTTGCCTTTTTACTTTATTTTTAACTGGGTGTTTCTTTTTCTTGCAGGAGTAAAAAAAAAAAAAAAAAAAAAGGATGGAAGAAAAATAAAATTGTTTGATAAAAGTCAATGGTGCTATTTGTCATTTCTGGCATTTTATGGACCCTTTTCCCAGATTGTATTTTATCTTTACAGTCATTGGCATTGCAAAGTTATTTTAAAAGTACACTTATAAAACTACATTTTGTATTCAATTATGACAATTTAAAGCTGCTGTGTGGGCGTTTCTAATGCGGTGGGAGTGATGTAAAGGCTCATTATCAATCTTCCTTAATTTATGATTTTAAGTTGTGAAAACAATATTGTGAAGTTTCTTTTGCTATTTGAGCAAATGGCAATACAAAATATTTAATGGGTTTTCCCATTCACCACTATATAAGTGTACCCAACTATGATTAATGCTTCTAAGAAACCTGGAAATTTGAAAAGGGTAATTATGTTGACCATTTCCAGAATTATGTTCATGAAGAGTTGTGTATCTCTTGCAAGGCCTTAAACTCCTAAAACAGTCACAGACTGACAAAAAAAAAAATCTTAATCACAAAATGAAAGCTTCATTTCATCATTTCTAAGAAAAGAATTTAGTCCTAGACCTATTTTTGGAAGGGACAAACCCCCAAATTTCACACACCCAGAAGAACTGCATATTAGATATAAATATTTGGCAGGGTGAGGAGCATAAATTGAGGGGGGAAAATAAGATATCAAACTTTATTTAGAAAAAAAAAAACAGCTTTGTCAAATATTCCAGAGTTGTAAACTTGTGTACAAAAGTATTTAAGCTTGGCTACAAATGCTGGTCTTAAGATGATTTTTCATAGGTACAGCTGCTCCTATTTTATTTCTTATCCCAAATCCTTAATATCCAACACATTTTTCCATTTCTTGCCTCCAGTAACAGTGTTTATTCAATTAAAATACTATGGACACTACTGTTGTAACTAAATAACCTGTATTCAAATAATGTGCAACTTCTCTTGAAAGACACCCTGCTGGGTTCAAAGGAGCTCTCAGCAGGACGGTTGCCACAGATGTTCAAATCACAAAGAGAAGCATATTATGTACCATAGGTTTGTCCAGACCACATCACCTTTCCCTCTACTAAAGTGGACACTAGCTACCATCATTTGCAATAGTTAATAGAAACCAGGACAGACTCACCAAATAAACTAATCATGCTTTTCAATTTTCAACATCCTCTTCTTCATTCTCTCCCTCTTGTTCATCATCCATGTGCTCATCTTCCTCTTCATCTCTACTCTTGTCATTATCATCTGTGTCGTTCTTCTTATCCTTGTCCTTTCGTTTTTGCTCAGATGCCTCTTTCTTGCCTTTCTGACCTTTCTTGTACGCTGTAAAAAAAAAAAAAGCACATTAACACACAACCTGGTTACATACACATGAATAAAGCTGATGCTTTTAGGAAGTCATGCAAGGGCCTGAATCCTTCTGGTCCATTGAGATCTTACCTTCAAGTGCTTCCCGCAAGGGTTGCAAGAAACGCTCAAACTCCATCTCCTCCATAGCTGACATCACATCTCCAGCGTTGAGTGTTTTCCTTTTTGCTTTCATAGCAAAATTGTTTGCACTGGTGTCAACAAAACAGTGGAGATTACATACGAGTAGTTTTTCAGGGTGAAATTTCTCAAACAAAACAAAACTTCAGACTAACCAAGATGTTGCGTAGAGAACGAAAACACTAGCTGCTTGAGAAATCGCTCTTCTTGCCTCCTTGGACACGTTTACTCCGTCTGGCAACTAAACAAAGAGGGAAAACAAGTTGATTGTATATGAAGAGTTCAGATGCAAAAGCCTCTAAATGCCATTTGAAATTTTCATCTTTAATGATGATTTTTATCAAACTTGTATATTTAAGTTCAGTAATTTCACTTAAATAACAATTAATAGGTAATTATCATTGCCATTTAAGTGAAATTACTGAACTTAAATATACAAGTTTGATAAAAATCATCATTAAAGAAGAAAATTTCAAATGGCACTTAGAGGCTTTTGCATCTGAACTCTTCATATACTAACATACAACTGACTGCAGTGACGATTTACTATGGTTATCACTTAAACCACTTTTCAACTATATAAAAGAGACCTACGAAACAATGTTACTAGATGACTTACTGCCTCTTTTATAATCCGCGTGATGACAGCATTGGGAAGATTGAGGTCCTCTGGTCTCTCAGCCATTACACTTAATATACACTTAAATGAGATGCAACAAAACAATGTAATCTGTTTGTTTTAGATGCGTGATCAGGTCAAACTGCACAACAGTGAAAACTTTGTTAGCTTAGCCGTCTAACTTATCTGAGGGTGAACTATCACCAGATACACTCGATTTAAGTGCGCCGAATAACAAATTTCGTTTTGTTACCTTACATATAATACCTTATATATGCGTTAGACGTGCAATTAGATTATTTATCTGCAAATCAATTATCAACGGAACAGGTGAATCTGGACAAAAGCTAGTGTGCCTCAGTTTTTCAGCCCGCTTGATTCCAAACCCATGAGTTAACCTTTTACCTCTCACCGCTCTGCCCAGCCAATCAATACAGACTCTCAGTCATGACGTCAATTCGTAGGCTAACACCAAATAAACCAAATAAACACCAGATTTATACATGCGGGTGACGACGCTTTGACGTTTTTTTTCCCCTAAAAGGTAAATTAGACATGTTACCTTAAATGTAAATTTCAAAGGTGCTTTTTTATTTTATTTATTATTATTATTTTTAATGTATGTTGTTAACAGGTCACATCCTGGTAGTTGTAGTCCTGTCAGGATGTAGTCCTCATTTAGCAAAATTCTTTCCGAAACAAAAAGCAAATGGCTTTTCTTAAAAATGAAATAAATAAATAAATAAATAAATACATCATAGGTAATTCTTGAGTCTTCCGGGTTTTCAGTCGATTTTTATCGAAGTAAAAAATAATAATGAAAACAGTTTTGATTTTATTTAGTTATTTTTAAACTGAACTGAACGAGAAAAGTCCCCTCCCCCCATTATTTTCATTTCAGCGGGACTGAAGCATGTGCAGTGCAATTGCTCAATATACACGGAATGTATAACCTATTGTAGTAATTTCATGGTCGTGCAAGCGCGTTTGAAACAGTGTTATTTCATCTCCATTTATAGCTGTTTCGAATGTTTGAAAGTGTTGCTTGCGTGAGAATGAATGTTAAACATTATGCAGTATGCACTGCCTGGTGGACCAGAAGCAAATAATTTTAGCCAACTGCTTCAAACGTTTCCCCCCTTATTTCTATAGCATAGTTTTCTTGATTTAACTAAACTGAGCAAAGCAAATTTATATATTTATTATCTTAAAAGTGCTAAACTGTTACACATTATTAGGCCTAATGGTGAGACATTATATTGGTATATGAAATTAAGGTTTGTATAAGAGTTTAGTATTTAAATGAGTGCAGAAATGTCTCGTCTCCATGTGTGGTCCCCGTCCCCCCAAGAAGTTTAGGATTTATAACCCATGTGTATTTTTCCACAACTAATTCAATCTACACAGACCCATAAAAAATGAACTGTTGGTGGGACATTTCTTTTACATCTTCATCACGCTTTATTGTTTGCCAATTCTCATTCTGTCAACCTCAATTGTGGTAAATGGCAAAGACTTTCCATGACCGTTTCAACCCCTCTTTCTTTGATGCTCATCAAATGTCTTGAGGTTATTCATACATTAGCTCATAAAGCAATTAACATTTTAACACCATGTTGTCTTTTTATGGAGACTGGTAAAGTTCATTCTTTTTCGCACCCTCTTTCAGATGATGTCATTCAGATGCTCTGACTTCTTTAGGTCTGAATGTGACTTCAGTTTGCCATACCAGCCTGTGAACGTAAGATAAGAACATGTTTTGATTGATTCAATTCAATCTACAATTCAACCTCAAATTAGGTAAAAGTCTTATTTTTTAATAACTTAAATAACAAAACTCATACATTTGAATTTGTCACAGAAAGAGAGTCTGACTCTGAAGTTGGTGTATTTTTTCTTGGCCAATCTTGTCAATGGAAAATCATTAGATATACCCTATTTCCTAGCATAACTAAATATCTGTGATACACCTGAAAGGCATTTATTTTAGGAGTGATAAAAAAGACAATTTGTGGATGCAACTTTGGTATCATGGTGGTAGTGTATGATAGCAACACCAGGTGTCACTACAAATACTGGCTAATTCTGGAGAATTTTAATAACTGCACGGCAGTATTACATTTAATACATTTAATTACATTTATTTTGCTTAGGCCTTCAGTGCAAGACTCCTATTCACTCGACAGGAAAATGCTGGTTGTTAAATGACTTTTACTCGTCTCTTTTCACAATAATTCAGCCCATTCTCACTCCCAAGGCGTCACCTAACTGACGCCTTGGGAAGCATTTGACCATGCTTCAATATCTGACGCTTTAGGCGCTCTTTAGCGTCAGTTAGATGACGCCCTAGAATCGCGTGTACCCTACCCCCACCCCATACCTAAACCTAACCGCGTCCTCTAACTGACGCTTTCCTTTAGCGTCAGTTAGATGACGCTGTAGGATCGCGTCATGTAAGTGACGCTAAAGGGCGCCTAAAACGTCAAATATTGAAGCATGGTCAAAGGTGATGCCTTGGGGTGAGAATGTGTTGAATAATTAAAGCTGGCAAGAAACAGATCGGTGCAATATCTTTTCTCCCATATTGTAATATCAATGTAAAAAGTATTTTCAAAATAATAATAATAATAACTGTTGTGATTAAGCTTAATGTTGTCCATCAGGAATTGATTGGATTGTTGGATCATTGTGGTTTGCTGGTATCTCATGTGAGTGACAGGTTCTCCCGTCCTCGTGCCAGTACGTCATCAGAGAAAAGAAATAGTTGAAGAGGGAGGGGGAGTTTTTTTTTTTATTCAAGATTACAAGACCACGTGAATTAAATAGTAATAATGTGCACTGATAAATATTTTATAAAATAATATTCCATAAAAAAAGAAATGTCGATTTTTATTTCTTGTTGTTTAAAAGCAAAGTCAATGTGTGACTAGCAACAGACTAGTGACTTCAACGTCGAGTTTGCAAACAAAAGTTTGTACAAAAAATCAGTACAAATTGCAACTTTTTTATGTGACATGGAGAGATACCCGTGTTATTTCTATTAAATATACAGATCAACTAATATATAGATTTATAAATATTGATGCAGAGTTAGGCCTATTTTCTGTTAGCCTACTATCTGTTATTTTCATGATTAGCATTTGACGATTATCAAGCTTGAAACAATGCAGAGTTGAATCCATTTTGTTACCATGAGCTTTAAGAGCAATATCTTCATGGGACTTGTTAAAAATTCGAAAGCAAAAGATATTTCTCAGCTATTCAACTGTAATTTCTAACTTCACGTCGAGTGTTTGTGTGGAAGGAATGTACAATAAGGAGTGATTTTTAAGGATTATGTCTAACTGTTGCCGTTGCTTGTAAGTTGATCATGACTTCATTTAAGAGTCTTTAGGAGTTTCATAAAATTGGTAAATAAAAATGGTTATATTTCCATTTTAGAATCTGGATTTCTCAGTGGAACACACTGTCCCATAATTCAGATGACTAACACGATATTACAGTGACAAAAATAGGGAAGTGAATAAGCTTGGTCAGATGTTGACATAAGTCATTGAGACCGCAAAACTGTTTTAATTAAATGGACATTTTCCAACAAGAAAATAAAAGTTGATGACAAGTATTGTTGAGCTGTACTAAAACATATGTAGTCCAGTCAATTTAAATTCATTACTTCTAAACACACCCAGAACTGAGATCCTCAAATGTTTTCTTGAAAAGTGTTACCATGAAAACATGTCGAACACCCTTTCCAAAAAAAAAGTAGGCCTACCTTCCACTATGTCCAAAGGCCATCACTTATTTTGATAATAACGCCTAGTCACATGCTTCAACAGTTCCTAAGGAAGGATAGGAAGTCTGAGTTGCACAGTCTCATTCGTTTCCTCTCAAGGTTCAACCAAGACTTTTTGAATAGAAACAGGAAGATCCAAATCCACCATCCCACTCCAATACATGTTCTCAGGAAAGGCCACAACCAAAAGAACACATAAATACTGCCGTCACCGTCTGAACATTTGTCTGTTTCTGCTTGAAGATGGACATCTCTCAAAATGTCACCCAAGGCTCATGGTCTGCATTGAATTTGTCTTTCAAATTTCAACACATTTTTAGTATTTACTTTCAAGCATCAATGCGCTGTACTTTGAATTTTCATATATGATTGAAACACAGTATGGCATGTCACCATATACTCATCCACCATTTTGATTGGTTTTCTGTACATGTCAAGTTAATTAAGTCAGTAAAATGACAAACATGTCCCTATTACAGCCAGGTTGCCAAATCGGTTTACTTTCAAAATACTTTAGGGATTAGATGGACAAGTAAACTCCTTTGAAAATGATTGGTGGATTTTGTGCTTGTGTAATTCGCTCGTCTTCACTGTGTGTTTTGACCTGTGTTTTATTATGCTTTTTTCTCACCAGCTGTTTCAGATTTGTTTTATCTGTTCTTTATTTGTCAAAGAACACAGTAACATTACTCCTGACCAAAACAACTGCTTTCATTGAGTCTGTAATCAATGAAAATACATGAAAACTGGTGACTTTAAAAAAGATCATAAACATTTGCATTTTTATTATATTACACAAATCTGCATTCTTTTACGCAAACCTTTCCAGTGTTTAAACAAGTATAAACAATCTTTTCATGATTGCAAATTGACTTTTTGGATACCTTAATACAAACTGTAAATAGCAAGACACAATTACATGCTTGGAAGTCTGTAGATGAAATTCATAACTGTGATAACCTCCATTTGTGTTGCTTTCTGATGTTCAACTCCATTGACTGACCCAGTTTTTTTTACATTGCAGATACATTTTTTTTTTTTTTTTGCTGTCTGAATGTTGTGCTGTCATAACAACATAGTTTAGCCTCCAATAGTAGAACCAAAACATTGCCTGAGAGTTGCCATCAACAGTTACCTAAACCTTGCCTCTAATCCTCCCTAAAGCAGGGACCTCATCTTCACCCATGCATCAGTTACACCTCATATCTACTGCACACCTGGAGATCTTGTCTTTCACAGAGGACAGTTGTGTTGTTGAAGGTTTGGGCAGTGTAGGAGTGGAGGAGGGTGGTTCTGCTCGCCCTGGCTGTCAACACTTCGATTTTGAAAGAGTGAAGGAACTCAAACTGAATGAATATCAGACTCACGTGAGTGATGAGAAGTGAACGTCTGAATGAACCTCATTGAAACACACCTGTGGAGAACACCACCTTCACCTGTTTGAACTTCTGACCTATTTAGGAGGTTAAGGGGCCACATGCTGCAATGCAACGGACAAGAAGCTTCATGCTGTAAGCTAAAACAAATTCAATCCAGCTGACACACAGACATCTTATGAAACAAATTTCTCTCCACATGAAAGCTTTCAAATGTCTGCACTATTTTTCTTGGTATTAAAAAGCTTTCTGGAATACTTGATTCTGATTGGTCAGTCACGCCAATGATTTTGGGATTTTTCGCCAATGATTCCAGTTGAATTTTTTTTTATTTTCAACACTGTCCATGGCATCGCTACATTCAAGCAGTTTTGATTCTACTGACTTTGTTCAGAGCAAAATCGCAGTGTACCTTCTATTTATTAACTACAAAAAATGCAGCAAGATTTTTAATTCTTCTTCTTTAAGAAGACGAACAAACATTGCGCTGTAAGGCGGTGTGGTAACCAAAGTGCACAAAGAAGGCTCAGGAGTAGAAAAACTAAAACAGTATTCATTTAAATAAACACAATATCCAGGAGATCGCTGGAGAGTAAATAACAGGAGCTTAGGAGACCACATTCCACACATGAACAAACAATAACTGACATGGAGTTACTGAAACACAGGGCAGGATAAACAAAGGAAACTAGACAAGACACAGGTGAAACTAACCATACAATCAGGGACTAAATTGAAAGAAACAGACACACAAGAACGAAATGACAACTAAACTCAATATAACGCCGCCCAGACCCTCCCGGAAGGCGCATCCTTGCGCTGTAACAGAGAGTTCAGCAGTGGACTGAGGGAGGAGGTTTAGGAGTGGGACCTTGGAGGAGCTGACAGAGGAAAACCCCACCGAGAGGACGAAGCCATGCCAACTAAAACATTAGGATGAAGGTAGACAGCACAACCAATGGAGGGAGAAGCCAGCGTGGAGCCAGGGATCCGACCGACAGAGGTTGAGCCAGGACAGGTGGAGACCCAGGGAGAGCTGAGGAGATGAACACCCCAGGAGACACTGCTAGACTGGAGGGCCAAGGGGGACAAGGTGGAGGCCTGGGTTCGGCAGACTGAGACTCAGGAAAGCTGTGGGAGGAAGGAACCCGGTGAGGCAAAAGGTGTGGAGGGACAAGGCGTAGCCGGAAGTCTGTGGTGCAATCAGGGTGACTTACCTGGTCCTGAACTGTCACATACTGTATTTATTACAGAACTAGCAATTTTCCCAAGATGAAAAAAAAGAAAGAGACAGAGAGCTGTGCTGAGCCGCATGGGACGTGGGAGCCAAGTGAAGCCTGAGGCCTGACAGACCATGGTGGAGCCGAGGGAGCGTAGAGCCATGGGGGAGCCAAAGAGTCGGAAGGCAGAGGTAGAGTATGGCTTGGAGGTCCAAAGTGGAGATGGGGGAGCTGGGCAACACTACAAGACAAAGGAGACTTGAAGCTGGACGGGACCAGTGGCGACGAAGGAGTCTCTCGTATCAGATCGCGACATGTGTTTTTTTTTACTTCATACAAATGCAACTTCTGCCCTCTAGTGTCTCAGTGAAAATGACTTCAGAGGACTTTAATAGTGATATTACTGTAGCGACAATGAACAACAAACTGCATATTATCCAACTTATATAATCATCAGTGCTTATTTAACTAATCCTTTATGCTTTCATCGACTCAAGGCAGCTTGACCCCAGAAATGTACCTTGGCTCAGAAATGTTGTGATCAATGTGGCAGTTTTGAAATGAAATGAAGCATTCTGAACAGACGTCATTTGAAAGATGTCTTTTTGCACAGCACTGGCAGTGGAAAAAGTGCGGATGCTCTGTACACATTGGGCACAGGGATCATCAGAGGCAAACAAACAGAGGCAGCTCTGTGATGATGCATTAGCCTGTCAGAGAGCGCCCGGCACTGAATACAGACCAGCCAGTGTAGGGTCAGTCGGAACCTGAACTTCTCTATCCATCACAAGCAGGTTACCACTCATACACACTGAATCTCATTTATGTGCATATGCTCAGACAGACAAACACTCGATAAACTGACCTTCACACTCCTAGTGCTGCAAGTGGAAATTGAACTAATCTCCAAATATTCAGACAAGAATGTGCTGCACGCACAAACACATACACGTACGCAAACACAAAGGGTTGTTTGAGTTCCTGTTGAGTCTACTCGTCCTAGACCTAACATAGCTACTGTAGCCCTCGAAAAATCTCAACTGCAAAAATTATTTATATCCACTGCTCTACGATTTCCCCCCGTGTGATTTATGAGCTCTGTGCATTCTTCGCGAATCGTCAAATCCTGCAAACCGTCCCATGAATAACCCTGAGGCATCCTTGGTATCTGCTAGCAATGTTTCTCACCATGCCTGGTATTTCATGCCAGTATTTTGAACCTTTTCAGTTTTTTTTTTTTTTTGACTCATCAAGGGGTGAAACGTCTGTTTGATTATGTTGGCCTGAAAGTTACATATTTCAGCTGCCCTCTGAACAATATCATAAAAGAGGTGTTATTGATACAAGGCAAGTTTGTGTTGAAAAACGGATATATAGAGGAGAAAGATACATATTTGGGGAGTTAATATTGGGATTTGTGGTTTAGATTTTTCCATCTCAGGGGTGTGCGTATAGGGAATTATTTCCAAGAACGAAGCTTTTAAAGACGATGCTACACTTAAACACCAAAGTTAAACAGCATTAGGGGCACAAATACACTCCAGTTCCCATATTCTCTCTCACACACTTACCAGCTGCAACTCTTCACTTACTAAATCGAAATTTCATGTTCAATATAACAATCTCACTAGGTGTTAAGGTCACATTTTATATATTTAAGGAAAAATGTCTACTAGGACCCTTAAGATTTTTTTGCATTAACAATATAATTTTACCTCAGCTCAGTTTACTCCCAAAAGTTCATGTGTAATGACAATAAGTCTTGATGTAACATAAAAAGGATTGTATACAGAAATAATGCATTTTTTTAAAACATTAAAAAAAAAAATTACAGCATTTTTGCAGTCATTCATATAATGAGAAATACAATTCCAGATGCATTATAGTAATGAGAATTGGGGGGTAAACTGTAATTTTTCCAATGCCACAATGCAAAAAAAGCAAGAAAAGATCATGTTTTCCTCATGCAAAATATCAGAACTTTATATTTTGGTTTTGGGTGAAATGTGACCTGGACATTTCTTGAGATCTCACTTATTTTTCCATAAAAAAAAAAAAAAAAAAAAAAAAACATTTAAAGGTGCCATCTGGAACTAAAAATCAAAAAATATTCCATATTCCATAACAGATGGGGGCAGTATACCTCCAGAAAATGTGTTGTGCCGCGGCCGCACGCACTCACTCACGTCTTCAAACAACACAAGCGAGCGCTGTTTTGCTCTCTTTCTCCGCATATTATTCAAATCATTTGTCACGATAGTAAAAGGTCGGAAGACCGCAGTTTCACGTGGAGCATTTGGAGATTTTTAGAGATCAGAGACTCAATGAACAACATCTCAACACTAAATGATGACGACCGACTCATAGACGCTTGTCTCAAAAACAAGCTGTTGCATTTCGACGATATGGGAAAATAAAAGCCTGCGGGCTATTATTTTAAGTTTACGGTATTCCTTTTGTTCATATTACACTTTTATTGTTATTTTGAATTAATTTGACAGACAGCATTCGCTGATGTTGATCAACCTAGCGCCATTCAAAGCTGCCAACTCTCACGAGTTCACCGTGAGACACATGCAATTAACACTTAGCAAGCAGGTTAGTTAAGCTCTTAGATTCTGTCAATTTTATTATGCAATTCAAACAATAAATACCGTTTTGGCGCTTGTACATGTTACACCAGAGATCCCTAGCGCACGTGAACCGATCGTCTCTACTAGCTAATGGAAAAAGAACCCGAACACTGTTGAAAGATACAGTATGCTACAACTCACCAAAATGTATTCCTCATGCGTGATATCGACCAATCATTTTTTGAACTCTTCCCTGAACTGAAATGTAGTATTGGGCTGTATTTCCACACGACATCAGGTTCAAGTACACACAAGCCTGCGCGAGCGCGACTCACTCGTGTACTGCAGTTTGGCTGGTGGTAACGTTGCTCGCCTGCATACCGCCTCCCATGGCCGGAACTGGTATTACGACACCTGCCGGGCCGGGGCTAGTAATTTAGCATGCTAATTTAGGTTTATATCTCGGCAGCACTATAACTTGTCAGTTTTTTAATTACATCATTGCACTTATTTCTTCTCATTCTTTTGTTGCGTGTAGCTCATTTTTTGGATATTTTTACCTCAAAGATGGCACCTTTAAGGGATTAGTTCAGTGTTTGGGTGTAAAAGTTTGTCTTTAGATGGATTTCCCCCCACCAATGATTTGTGATTTATATTGTTTTGAGATTGCTTTGGTTTTAGCAGATGAAGTTTCCATTGTTTTGCAGTGTGTGGCAACTCAAGTGTTACCATGGTATTAGTTTATTAGTTAGTTCAATCTCTACTGCTTTTTACTTCTATTTTTAGACAAGACTTTTATAATTCTGTCCCCGCAGGCAGACAGACAAATATACACACTGATTTCCCACTGTGCAGTTTGGACATGCTTCTTGCTAGCTAATGTGCAGAGCTGCCGATTCCTCACTTCTTCAATGCAGATGTTCCAGACATTGCTTGGCACAAGGTCACCACACACAAATTTACGTTTGAATCTTTATTTCATCCTATTTTATTCAGGATGGCCATCTATTTTGTGTGACAAGTAGCCAAGTGTGTAGGGTGAATTAAGGTAGACCTAATCTGGGTCTGGGACATTGTATCAAAGAAACAAGATCTGAAACAGCTATAGTTCCAGATGGGTCATGCAATTGAGGTCTCATTTGTTTGTCTGAAGTAGCCTATTATCCAAGTTCTATTATGAAGTTCTAGATCCAGTCTCATGTTCTCCATCGGATGTGTTCTGCACGACTCAAATGTCGAACGACGCTGCATTAAAGGACGCGATGCTTCTCTCGGCCTATTGAAGATTTGACGCAAGAAGTCCCCAAATGAATAAGACTTTTCATTTTTATGGACGTCGCCATCTTCTGGTAAGAAAATACAGGCTTGAATCTATAGTAGCCTAGGCTATGCACTCTTTGTAAAGATATTTTTATGTTTGTATGTGAACTTACTTATTCTCACGTTGTTTTGAGAAAAGTAGGCCTACTTTATTATAGACCAGAGAATTAGACAGAGAAAAAATATTAAAGGGGTAATTTAAAATGTAATTTCCACCAAAGAACAGCTAAAGTGAGAGTTCACCTAAAAATGAAAATCATAATTGACTCGCATTCACAATATTCCAAACTTGTTTGACTTTCTTTCCTCTGAGAAACAAAAGAAGATATGTTGTGTTTCAACTGTCAGTACCATAAAAGTAGCCTAAATGGGGTCCAAAACAACATTGGACCCCACTATGAGTGAAGTATCCCTTTACTGTAAGAGAAGGCTATAAACTGTAAATTTATAGGCTACTTGCTATCTACCACATTACTATTATGTTATGAGCCTTGGAAATCTCAAAAGCCCACACGACGGGGTGTGACCAATAATAATTTGAAACATCCTTAAACAGCATTCTAGCATTTGTAGGTCTCGTCTCATAATTAGTGGCGTAGAAAGTTTGAGCATTTGCGTCATGGGGCTACAAATATGTCCTTACATTTTGTGTCCTAACTAAGATTCACCTGTTCAGTGTCTCATTGCACTTATTTAAATTCATGTGGTATGACTCTATTATCAGTCATTACATCCATTTGCTGCATACGCAGTGACTAATCTCCATCAGACTTCACCTCTGACCCAGTAGATGTCACATCAGTGCATCATCATGGGAATGCCATTCCAGCTGCTCTCTTCTCCTCAAAAGAAATGAATGAAAAGCTCCACACAGTGATATTTCCACACTGCCTACTCAGATGATTTTCCTCTCTTGCTCAGATTTTGTGAGTGGATGCAGTACGTCACTGAGCGGGCCGGCAGCTATGTGCCATGTGTGTGTGATGTCTCGCCGGCACTGCGGTGAGAGCGAGTGCCGTCTGACATACTGTCTGTGCTGTTTGCAAGGGAGGTGAGAGGGATTGCAGTGTGTGTGTCTTACTGGAGAGTCCAAAATGACCAAAATGTGCTAGACCTTTTCTGTATTTCATAACAGCCCATTAGTTCCTGAAATCAGACACAAACATATAGAATCCAGACTCAATTAAAATAAATATATATATAAATGGGTTCTATCCAAGGAGATCCTCTTAAAGGAATAGTTCACTTCTTCTTCTTTAATGTATGCAACAGTTTTCTTACTGTTCTTCATATTTTTATATTTAAGTGGTCAAATAAATCTAATCTAAATCTAATCTAATCTTCTGTTGAACACAAAGGAAGATAATTATTTTGAAGACTGTCGGCAACCAGTTAATTTACCCCACTGACTTCCATTGTAGGAAAAAAAAATACAACGGAAGTCAATGGGGCCCATCAACTGTTTGGTTACCCACATGCTTCAGCAGAAAAAATAAATTCATACAGGTTTGAAACGACTTGAGGGTGAGTAAATGATGACAGAGTTCTCATTTTGAAGTGAACTAATCCTTTAAATGACACTTGCATGTTTAAAAGTTTTATTCTAGTACAGACTGTTTCTTCATAACATTTCAAATGAATTGAAACAAAATGAATTAACTAAAACTACATTCATAAAATGATCCCATGATGGGAAAAGTCCTATGTAGAAACTTTTATAAGAGTGCAGTTTTTATTTTCTAAAATATCGAAATGGTAAAAGAAGATATAGAAGCACCTAAAGATGTCATTAACCATTAATTTGCAATAAAAGGGATAAAGGCAATATGCACCAAAACATTTCAGATGGATATATTTTTGTCTGTATAGGATAGAATTAGCCTGTCAGATCTCTCTCTCTCTCTCTCTCTCTCTCTGTGTGTGTGTGTGTGTGTGTGTGTGTGATGTCAGAGGGGGGTGTGCCAAGCTGTCTATAAAAGTGGCAGTCACTAAGGGAATCGAGTGGAGCAGAGCTTTACAGTTTTATACATTTAGCAATTCTTAAACAGACTTTAAGGGGTGAGTGCAGATTACCAACCAACTAAATTCTTTTTGAACTGACAGATGCAGAGGAACACAAACATTTTGGATAAAACCATGTCACCTTTACGGAACATACTAAGACAAGGACATTTTTTCACACTGGTGCTGCTGTCATGGGCCGCTGTGGAGGTGAGTTTGTGTGCTCTTTTTGATGGTTTAACCTGATAGTGTACCATTATATGCTCACTATCTGACATCCAGGTTGCCTTAATAATTAAAAAAAACAAGTGTTACTGCTTTTCCATAAACTGATTTTAGATATGAAGAAAAAGGACATTTAATTATTTATTAATTTGCACTTTTGACTATAAAATTGCTTAATCACAATGTCAATAGTTGATAAAAGCATTCTGTTTCTTAGGCATTTTAGTATACGGAGTTAAAGGGCATGCAATTCATGCCTGATTTGTATCCGGTTTTTGCTCACAGAGACAGTATTATTCTTGCATGTGGTCTAATATAGAGGCTGCATGAATTTGTATTGACTTTGTGGTGATTAAAGAAGATACTGCAATACATCATCTGCTTCATTGCATAACTATAGCATTCTTTCTTAAATTCTTAAGTGAAAGCAACTTATTATCTCTTGATTTATGGAATGGAAGAGGGGAAAATGTCTCCTATAAGCTAGTGTTTTCTAAAATCTGTTCTTTCTTGTTTCCTTCTGTGTTTTCTCAGGTGCAGGGTGGCTGTCCACTGAAATGCTCATGTCCCTCATCGCCCCCCTCGTGTCCTGCCGGTATCAGTTCGGTTCTTGACCCATGTGGGTGCTGTCGGGTCTGTGCCAGGCAGTTTAACCAAGACTGCAGCCCTACTGAGCCCTGCGACCACATCAAAGGACTGCGCTGCCACCTAGGGGCTCAAGGAGACCCCGACAAAGGCTTGTGTAGAGGTAAGAGGAACAAGGAAATCTTAGACTATTTGAAATTAAGCTTAAATAAAATGAAAAGTTAGATAAAAAAGTACATGTAAAAAAAAAACCAAAAATGAAATATGTTCAAACTCATGTAGGCTACTTAAATTACTAAAACCAAAGCGGGAATAAATAAAAGCTAAAAAAAATAAAAAAATAAAAATAAAAATGCTAATACAAATATTACTATAAAATAAAAGCTAATTCAAAATATTAATAAACACTATAATAGTATGTAAATATACTAAATAACCATGATTTAATATTTGGAACTTAAATTACAATATAATATTACAATATTTTTTACATTGTGCTTGTGGTCCCATAGCCTGGCCAAGCTGAAAATTACCAATAAACCCCTCTAAAACCAGACCAGGCTGGGAGAACAAGCACATAAACTGGAAATTTTAATATGGAGGAATATGGCACTCATCATTGTCATGATAATCAAGCAATACTGTTATTTCTGACATCTAGCTGAGGCACAAGGCCGCCCATGTGAGCTGGATGGACGGGTCTATCAGCACGGCGAGGACTTTCAGCCAAGTTGCGAGCATCAGTGCACGTGTGTTGATGGAGTAGTCGGCTGCATCCCACTGTGCCCACACCACATTTCTCTACCCGACTGGCCTTGTTCCCGCCGCCGCCTCACCAAACTGCCTGGCCGCTGTTGCCAGGAGTGGGTGTGTGATGATGACAACCGCATTGCTGAAGTGAATCCATTGCCTGATGCACATCCACAAAAGCACACTTACCTCACAGGCAATGAGTTACTTGTAGTTGCTCCATCTACTTCTTGGGACAGTAGTGCAGGAGTCCCTTATCAAGGTAGATGAATAACAGTTATAAACTGATAAAAACAAATGACATAAACAACAGGGGTAAAAAATGATTCATGGTTATAAACGCTGGTTATTTTTTATGGTTTATTTTTTCTAGAGTGGATTTCATCCTCTAAGTCCCATGCCATCCTTCCATCCACCTGCTTACTTCAGGTCACTGATTGGTCCCCGTGTTCAGCCACCTGTGGAATGGGCGTGTCCAGCCGTGTAACCAATAATAATCCCGAATGCCGGCTCGTCAGTGAAACTAGGCTCTGTCAGATACGAGAGTGTGGCATCCACCTTGCACCATCACTGAAGGTATAGTGGCGGCTGTAGTAGGATCTGAAAAATGTCAAAAATAATATAATATTTAAACTATATCACATTATATTAATATATATATATATATATATATATATATATATATATATATATACAGTGCCCTCCACAATTATTGGCACCCCTGTTTAAGATGTGGTCGAGGACTTTTAAAAATTCTCCCTTTTTTTTAAACAACATAGAATCCAAATGCAAAAAAAGAGAAAAATCCAACCTTTTATTTAAGTACATTACTTTGGTGGTAAAATTTTTTTTTTAAATTTAAAAAAATAAAAACTTCAAATCATGTGTCCCACAATTATTGGCACCCCTGATGTTAATACTTTGTACAACCCCCTTTTGCCAACAAGACAGCACTTAATCTCCTCCTATAACATTTCACAAGATTGGAGAACACAGAGAGAGGGATCTTTGACCATTCTTCTTTGCAAAATCTTTCTAGATCATCCAGTATCCTGGGCCCTCTCTTGTGCACTCTCCTCTTTAGCTCACCCCACAGGTTTTCGATTGGATTGAGGTCTGGGGACTGAGATGGCCATGGGAGGACCTTGAGTTTGTGACTGAACCATTTTTGTGTAGATTTTGCCACACGTTTTGGATCATTATCCTGCTGAAAGACCCAATGACGACCCATCCTCAGCTTTCTGGCAGAGGCCATCAGGTTTTTATTTAAAATGTCCTGGTAGTTCAAAGCGTTCATAATGCCATGCACCCTAACAAGGTTCCCAGGGCCTTTGGAAGAGAAACAGGCCCACAGCATCACAGATCCTCCACCATACTTCACGGTGGGCATGAGGTACTTTTCGGCATACACATCTTTTGTTTTACACCAGATCCACTTAGAGTGTTTGTTGCCAAAAAGCTCAATCTTAGTCTCATCTGACCAAAGCACACGATCCCAGATGAAGTCCCAGTGCCGCTTGGCAAACTCCAGACGTTTACGTTTGTCAGTGTTAGTGAGAAAAGGCTTTTTCCTAGCATGCCTCCCAAACATCTTGTTGGCATGTAGAGAGCGTCTGATGGTTGATTTGGAGATTTTGTGACCCCAAGATGCCACTATTTGATGCAATTCTGTGACAGTGAGCCTAGGACTTTTTTTTACTTCTCTTAGCATCCTCCTCACAGTGCGTTGTGGCAAGATAAACTTGGGACCTCTTTCTGTTGTTTTAAACTTCTTAATGATTCCTCTAACTTTAGATATGGGCAATATAAGGTGAGTGGCTATTTTCTTGTAGCCATTGCCTGACTTATAAAGGTCATCACACATCTGCCTTACTTGAATGTTGTGTTCTCTTGTCTTTGCCATGTTGACAAATGGGTAAGAGAATTCGGCCTCTGTGTCATGTCATATTTATACCCCAGGGAAATAGGAAGTCATGAATGACTAATTAAAAGTTCCTAGATACCCTGACCAACATTAGCAACTACAGAAAATATATTTTTTTAAAAATCAATTACATTTTTCAGCAGAATTGTTAGGGGTGCCAATAATTGTGGGACACAGGATTTGAAGTTTTTATTTTTCTAAATTTAAAAAAAAATGTTTACCACCAAAGTAATGTACTTACATAAAAGGTTGGATTTTTCTCTTTTTTTGCATTTGGATTCTATGTTGTTTAAAAAAAGGGAGAATTTTTAAAAGTCCTCGACCACATCTTAAACAGGGTTGCCAATAATTGTGGAGGGCACTGTATATATATATATATATATATAGCAAATGCTACGTGCTACGATGATAGCTCAGTTCACAACGACAAAGATCACTTTGGTCTTGTCAATGGAACCGGCAACTTTTAAAAGTAAACTTTCCATTCAGAATCTTATATATATATATATATCTGCTTGTAATTTTAAATTACATTAATTTGACTTGGCTACTATTAATAATAATTGTAATATTTTGATTTCTGGTCAATGTCTTCTGCTCTGTTATTGAAGAAGTTTTACATTACAGCCATAAATGTTTTCTCTCTCGTCCTCTCTTTTCCTTTACTCAGAAAGGAAAGAAGTGTCAGAGGACCACACGACCACAGAAACCTATGCAGATCGAATTTGCAGGATGCTTCACTGCTCGCCGTTACCGGCCACGTACATGTGGATCCTGCTCGGATGGCCGCTTCTGTGTTCCCTCTGTTACGCGTACGGTCCGCCTACACTTTCACTGTCCTGAGCCAGAACGAGACGACTTTACCCGCAACGTCATGTGGATACAGCGCTGCAGCTGCAGTCAAAGAAACAGCCGAGAAGACCTGTCATCACAAGCAGAGTTCCTCAATCTGCCAAACGACATTCACACATACACACACTGACATTATCTCACATTTTCCACAGCTCAGCATCCAACAGTATTCTTAATATATCAATAATGTGTATATAACTTATAAATAAGATTTCTGATTTATTTGGTATTTTGAAGTGATACAGGGGATATATGGTCATTATATGTAAGTAAGTGGTAAATTATGACTATAAAGCTTGTTTTACACACACACACACTTCCATGTTCTATCGGAACTTTCCATATATGTAATGATGACTTTATACTATGCAAACTGCATATTCTATCCCCTTACACTAACCCTAAACCTACCCATCAAAGGAAATTTCTGCATTTTTACATTTTCAAAAAAACGTCGCTTAATATGATTTATTAGCTGTTTTCCTCATGGAGACCAAAAAATGTACCCACAAGGACAAAGATTTCAGATATTGCCATCTTTGTGGGCACATTTTGTCCCCATAATATAGAGTTTACCAGGATCTCCCCTCTCCACACACACATTCAAATGTTTACCATTTTTCATATAATTCAATATACATACCCATTTTTTTACTGCTGTATATAGTGTAAATATGTTCCAGTACCACTGTACATATCTGAAATGTTTTTTTTTTATTATTTTATAACATTTAACAGACTTCAATTCTGAAGTGTCATATTTAAACTTCAATTTTTTGAGGTAACAAATATGTAACAACTACATTTTATGCATATTTTAGTAGTTTCATTTTGTAAAATAAAATGTATAACAATGTATGGCAAACATTGAGAAAATAACAGTGAATAGAATAAATTAGAGCACACACTGGGTAATAATTTTAATAATGCTATAATAATAATTATGCTGTTTTGGTGTTATTTAATCATAATAGGAAAACACCGACCAGATCAATATTTATAAAGGACTTTTGGGTTGCCACTATTATATTTCTCTCCCTCAGTTCCTCTCTATGCCTCTCTCTCTCTCACAGACAGCTGAGACTTTCAGCACTGCCACGACGAGTGAACAGGAAATGTCTAAATGTGTTGAGAATGTGCAGGATGAAATATGTGATGACTGTACAATCTCACAATACAGAACATTTGAGCCATACACACTGCTGTGAACATTTGTATCACTCTTTGATTAGTCAGCATATGTTTTGCCCGCATGTTTTGTGACACAACAACAACTTATGACTTATGAGTCTATTAAATCTGCTTGAGTGCACAGTCTTCCAAAGATATCCTTTGTGTTGTTAAATCCAGACTTCAGTGCTTCTTTCTTCTAAAAAGAAAAAAAAGACGTTAAAGTGATTTTTTCTGTAAGTGATTTCTTTATTTAAAAACACACAAATGAATAAAATGGGGGCGATGGATAAATACACGTTTCATAATTCCATATACTGTATATCCAATAGTTCCAGGTTAAATGTGAATATTAGCGCCCTCTATTGGTTAAATGACACCTCAGAACTAGAAACAACAACTTTTATTATAGTGGAAAAATACTATCATTGCATTGCATAAACATGGCTTTATTGTGTGAATTAGAGTTTGAATGGTACAATATTATACTGTTGTGTATAACAAATTAAAATATAAAGTATTTAGCATCAAAGGGGTTTCCACAATGACAACTGTATCCCAGTGTCCTCTGATTTCCAATTGTATTCTTTTTTCTCTCTCTCGTCCTGTCATCCTTTTTATCTCTTTCCCTCCCTGGCTTAGATATTTTCTCACCCGCACTGCTCTGTTCATCTTTCTTGGGCTTCTGTTGGTCTATTTCCTTTCTCTATCTTATGCAAAGTGTGGAGTTTCTATGAAACAATGGGGACACCAGGGAGATTGGTACCAGGGGGTTGGTGGGAGGAGGTAAAATACATTTACCTTTCTAAAAGTAGCAAGGGACTCCACAGTGCCTCATCAAAGACCAGTCTGCTCAGGTGATCCCCTAAGCAGAGTGTGTGTGTCTGCTTTAAAGTCTTTGTATGCAGAGCCTGGATTTGAATAGAATCACACTACTGCTCCTTTTTTAAACAAATGACATTGCCTTACATCAGAATAGAACCAGTAGATCCTTCTATGACCCATCTTTGACCCCTCAAATGTGTGTTCTTGTGACTACTGATTCATTTTTTCAGTGTTTGACATTTTGCTGAGAAATATGTGGAGAATATCATGGTTAACATGGTTATCATAGTTCATAGTGTATTCTAATTTTACAATGGAAAAATAACCATTGTCCAAACTTACTAATGTTATTTTATTTTTTGCTGCTGCTCAAACAATATAGTCATACAATCATCCACTAGATGCCGCCAGACCCTTATTTCCGAAGCAGGAATAATAACACAATTGCGACGTCTTGTATGAAAGGGATAGTTCACCCAAAAATAAAAATAAAAATTCATTACTTACTTCTCTCCCCCAAATTGTTCCAAACCTGTATGAGTTTCTTTCTTCTTCTGAACACAAAAGAAGATATTTGGAAGAATGTTGTTAACCAGTTTGTGTTGGTAATGGCACCTATTAATTCCATAGTAGGACAAAAATACCATGGAAGTCAATGTCGACATGTCTGGTTACCAACATTGTTCAAAATATCTTCTTTTGTGCTCAACATAAATAAAAAATAAAAAACTCATACAGGTTTGGAACAACATAAGGGTGAGTAAATTATGTGTACATCTCCTATGTGAATATTTTCTTCAAAAAGTTATTTTGGCTCTGCTGCATTTGTGGAAATTAATGTGTTGTTTTTGAACTTTACACAGGGCCATCCCTTTAACCTTCTGAATAAATGTAGCGTACCTTAAATTCTCTTTTTAATTTATTTTAGTGTCAGATGATCAATCAATTATTGTTTGACCTCAAATTATTTTTTTGTAAAAAAAAAAAAAAAAAAAAAAAAAAAAAATAGTGAAGTTATAAATGTACAAGTACGATTCTGTAGGCTACATCAATTTTTATTGAATGGCTCTGCATAATAGGCCTTTAGACCAGGTTTAAACTGCAACACTCATTTCTATACAATATAGCAGGCCATGCTTGCTGCATTTCTATATAGGCTAAGCACTGCTCTGTGCATCTCTTATAATGAACAGAGTAGTTGGAGAACATACAACAAAGTTATTTATATCCACATTGTCAAATTATGCATAGCCATTAACGGTTTAGAGATTGTTACTGCCCCACGGGTGTGTTTAGTAGTTGACATAATAAGCCACAACATTTCTTAGTGTTCGCACTGCTTGTAAGAGAGAGGCCAAGGCTAGTTCATTTAAGGCTGTAATGGTAAATCAAGGCAAATTGGACAGTATTACATTGGTTAAATAAAGATTTACGGCGCCAGAGGTAATTGGCTTTCCATCTTGTCCAGATGTTCGCAGCTTCGATCGCGCCGAGAGACGCACCAAATATAAGGTGAGAGCACGTGGTAGTGTTCAATTTAACAGATGCCTGTTTTTTTTTTCGCATGAGCACATGCACATCTGTTATTTGGACTGTGTTTTTGCATCTATTGTCGTTTTATTTATAGATTGATGCTGTGTAGACTGTCAATTTGTGTAAGTGCATAGGTGAATAATGAACACAACTAATTTAAATTGCAGCAGGTTTAAATGTGAATATAGACTGCTTTTAAAACATTTCAGCATAACTCAGCCGTGGTGATTATGGGCAATTTAAATTAGTTTCAAATAATCTGAAGTTGCTCAAACAGCCATTCATCATTCTGTCAAATGCCACGCCCCTGCCCGTTTATTGGCTGCGGGGGTAGCACCTATGACACGTCACCAGAGGAGTGACTTTAAAAATTTCTCCCTGTTCGTTCATGAGTGTTTTTAGCGTAAACTGTCGACAGAAATAAGACTTTGCACCTCATATGAGGGAAAGCGAGTTTTAATAAATACTAGTTTTAAGAAAGCGCCACGTGCAGGATCATGTGCAATAGGTCAGCACTAACATGAATGTGACGGTTGTGGCGGAGCGCTTCTAACCACAGGGACGATTTTGAAGTTTGTTGGAACACGCGACGCTCGGATTATCAAAAGCGCATTTTCTTCAACGATTTTTGGGTGGACGAAAGCAAAACACAAGGACAGTCACTCCCACTGCTTCACCGCGCAATAACTTTGAGAGATAGTCCACCACCTTTGACTTCTTTCCAGACTACGTACACATACGGTGAGTAAAAATCGTGTAAACATTTAATCACTTAACGTTAGTTAAACAGATTGTGAACTTGTAGGGTTAGAGAGTTTCGTCTGTCCGACAGTTTCCCGTCAGTTCTGATCACAGCTTCTGATCCTAAAATGTAATTTTGTTGTATTTCATCACACGTGTATTTATGTGTTGTTTAGCAGGCGCCAAAACAATTTACTCTGCATTTTGATGTCAACAGCGTTGCAAGTGTCACACGTTACCAGTTGAGTTCTAGACCAATTTAGAGTTATATAGGTTAGGTGTTATATTTTTATTTTATTTTTCAAATATGCATAAACTTTACATTGGTGCGTCTTTGGCTGCTGCTTCCCCGTGCAATAGCTCTCACTCAATGGCTGTATCTCAAATCACAGTGAGCTGCCAACCTAGACATCTGGGCTGAGTTGGTGTCTTGGTAAAAAATGCTGTCTAGGTAGGCAGCACATTATGTTTTGAGACGCAGGCTTTATGTGTGCTGTCACTGGAGCGGAGAATTGTGCACAATGGGGAGTTGTGCGCGGAGTGTTAATTAAAAAGAGACCCGTTTTAATGAAACGGCGAAGCGTGTAGTTATATGGCCCCAGAGCGCATTATTAAAAGAGAAGGATATACTGCTAATCTGCGGTGGTGCCAACCAGGGTTTGGTCATTTGCTTACTGGACGCTACTATTTTTAGAGGCTGTGAAGCATGGTGTTACGCTCATTTATTTTAATTATCACCGACTCGCATTGGGTTTGTACGCAGTTTTTTCTTCTCCTAACCAACGTTTTTGTGACAGAAAAAATTCACATCTACAAGTGATAATGTATTAAAAAGGCGAAATTATACGGGCGTTTTTTTCAACAAACGTGCGTCCTTCCATCCCCACTAAAGTGCCCCATATCCCCAGAAAAGTTGTGGCACAACCAAAAAACATAATAGTGTTAAGACTTCTACACCATTAGGTTAGTAATTGATGATATGATTTGTCTAATAGTGTAGACCCATCATTTGCTCCGTCAAGCCGACACCAATCCATCAGTCTGCGCTCGGACAGCGACGGTATTGTGTTTCTCTTCATTAGCTTCTGTTTTTGCCTCTTATTTCATCAATCAGCTCGTTAGTCGAGTGGAACTGAACGAGCCTCCCCCTCGCTGACCTTTCTGATGACAGCGTTTAAATAACGAGAGAGAAAGAAAAAAGTTTGGTCTATTTCCAGTAGCTCCTCACTTTCAAACTAGCAGTGACTTGGTTGAATAACTTTATTAATACGTTTGGGAAAACGGGATGAATTCTCGACTTGAAGACCTTGGGGTAGCCTACAATCTTTTATGTGTGATTGGTTTATTAATCTAATGTTGCTCCATTAACCTTGTATAATATATAATTTACAAAGAAGACCCTCTTTAATAGGTAAAAAAAAAAAGGCTAGAGCTTTTACATTCTCCACTTGTTTATCTCAATCTTCAGCACATTTATCTACAACCATTTGCCCACAAATCACCTATATGCCCAGATTTTCCTAATTAGCGGCAACCTTTAAACAAACTTTGCACTCCTCTAGTCTAAACAGTATGCCATATTTTGCTAGCCTTTCTAAGTAAGTTAAGGAATTGGTCAACACAATGCAAACTGCCAAAGATATAGGCCTATAGCGTCATGACTCCTGTTACCCTGTGATAAGACGCTACATTAAGCCTCATAGCTTCAGAAAGGTTGTCGCCAAACATTTCCAATGAAGGATTAACTTACCTAAGTTATTAGAGGGATAATGTAATTGTTCAGTATTGAAACAGCCAAGCCTCAAAGCGTGTGATATTCCCCCAGGGTCCCATTCAACAGCATTGTCTCTCTAGCTCTCAGGTCTGCAGGAAAAGGATGATTAAAAAATAGGGGATTTGCATTTTCATGAAATTAACTGTTGCAAAGTTATTTGGCAACCTGCTTTGCAACGGCAATTCTGCAGGTGTGCGGGAAAGACAATGTATGGTGCTTGTTACTGGTGTCAGTTATGGAGAAAAGGTCCTGAGGCAAAATCTGTTTGTGTAGAAGTGCTGAATAAATTTACTTTTGGTTCAGGTTTATAATCTCGTACAGCTGGTCCCAATGCATTTAATAAGATATCAGGCTCATCGTTTGTGTAAGGCTTACAAATATGCCCAACTTTGACATGACAATGAAAAGATTAGAGCCAAGGGTGTCGGAAATTGGTTTAAACTGGTGCCTGGCAAATTCTCCAATAAGAATTCAGGCGTGTATGTTCATGTCAGGTTCGGGACTTCACTCTGTTTGTAGGGGAAATGCTTATGCTGCTCTCAGAGTGTTGTGTTAGACCTGTTCGGCCAGTTTTATCAGGGAAGGTGAGGGAATGTAAACCACACATGTGCACAAGATCTTGCAAGGCTATTTTACTGCAGATTGCTAATTCTTAGCTTTAGGATTTCTCCATTTTCATGTTGAAAGACCTATTTCATGATTCCACCACTGCATAAACTGTGCAAGGTGCTTCACCAAAAACATTTAATTCCCTGTGTCATCATTTGGCATAGCCCCCCCCCAAAAAAATGAAAATAATTTACTTACCCCCAAGTTGTTTCAAACCTGTAGGCTATGACTTACTTTTTCAGTAACACAAAAGATGTTGAAAAAATATGGACAGAAAAAAATAACACTGAATTGTTTCCTAATATGCTTTATTTTTGTGTGTGTGTTTGTCTCTCAGATGAGCTCCGTGATGACATAATTTTCATTTTTCGGGGAACTGTCCCCTTAGGACAGCCTATAGTACCTGTTGGCACAGTTCAGGCTCCTGTTTGTGGGAAAGCATGTGGCGGTTGATATCTTATGTCCGGCACAAGGCTGGGAAGACCGATAGGACCCGAGGAAAGCATTCCCACTCCTTTGGAGCAAAGCACAAAGAGCCTTCCTGTTGCTTTCCTCTCCTCTTTTGACCCCTGGTTGACCCTACCAATCAACAGGGCTCAGTTGTGACCTCTAACCTGGCCTCCGTCTCCAATCTGCTGGTGACTGACCTCTCCTTTAGAACAACAGAGGGAGGAAATAACAAGTGATATAGCCAGATGTCCAAAGCCTCTTCCTCACATTGCTGCAGCCTCTCCAAAAGGAGAAAACTGCACCAACTGGTCCTCACAGGATTTTGCTGAGGTTTTCCAAATGCAGCATAGAAGTTTGCTTTGTGTCTGTTCAGAAAACAATGCAGAGATACAAGGTTATTTTTAGAAATAAAATGCGCAAGCATTTCCTAATGTGTCTGAGGCTGAGCATATGTATGGTGCCTCGAGTCTGAATGTCTTTTGCTTAGTTGGACGGTCTGACCTTCCACAATCTTCGTGTTTATTTTATGTAATGTTTACTACAAAAGGTTATGTAGAAAAGGTTATGTTGCTGGCCTGTAGAAATACTAAAACTGTAATAGTGTGTCTGTGTATGTGTGTGGGGTGAGGATGGTTGGTGGTTAGACTGAATTCATCCTTCTGGAACAGCATAAGGCTGTTTATTGAGAGAGGGAACGGTTTGCTTGCTCGCAGGGAAACGGCTGGTGAACTCATGAAGGGAATACACTCGACATAAGTGAAAACATACTCAAACTAAAATCATCAGACAGGGAATGACAAATCAGCTGCACTTTCATTAGGAAAACCTCATTAACAGTGCTTGGTGTTGTGATTGAGTTCTCATATTGGTTGAAGGCTGTTTACCACAAGGCATTCCGACTGCAAACTAGGACATATTAAAAATCCGTCTTTGAAAAAGTTGTTGGGAGTTATGCCTCTGAATTATTTTTGTTTACATGCTAGAACAGTTAACTGTGGTAAATCAAGGTGATGTTTGTTAAGTCTCATATCTCAGATAAGGATAGCTAGATGTCTAGATTAGTGCTCTTGGAGATTCAATATCGATATGACCACCCCTGTTCTCAGATCAACATTCACACGCCGAGATAACGTGCTCTGAAAGGGAACAGACTTTACTTTTTGTCCTTATGGTTTCAGTTACTGCCATTTGAAAGCTGGACTGCCTCCAGCTGGGTTTGATCTCCACTCATATTTGCAATGAAAGTTCTGGAAATGAGTTGTAGATGTAAACTGATAATGTTAATGCAGATATACAAATTTGTGGACTACATCATTTCCATAGAAGTGCCTGCAGCATGAGATTTATTTTAGTTCCGTGCCATTCCAACATCATTTCAACATGTTTGTAAACACATTTTTAATGCATTTAATTATAAAAAAAATGATATAACGTGTTGTTTATAATGTTAACTAACTATTGTTAATAAAGTAACACATCACATTTATAGTATTATGGGCCTTGGTTGTTTAGCAGTGCCTATGACTAGCAAGAGCAGGTTGTTTTCTATACAGACTTGTGTATCTCTTCATTGGTGTAACTCTGTCAAGACATACATTGAGTGAAGTTTCATCCTCCGTTTCATTAACCCTTTACAGTTCTCCTATAGCCAACTACATTTCTCTCATTGTTTTGCATTGTGGGATAAATATATGGTAAATGGTGATGTCACAGTTATGATTGTTTAGAAACCTTATTTACTTAATTTTCTCTTAGCCAGTTTAAAAATGTGACAAAATATGCTAAACGCCATAACTGGCCATTATACTGTATGTTTGTAACTTAAAGAAAATGGAAAATAAATCTCAATGCTTTAAAAGATCTCTGCGGTTGGGGGCTTGCAGTACTGTTGTTGTGAACTGACTGGATGCTCTGCTTGCATAATTCTGAGTATGAATATTCCTCACTCAGAATACAAAAGAATGGTGATATAAACAACAAAGAATTTTAGATGTGATGAAACCTTGAACTTTACAAAGCAAGAACCTAAAGGTGAGCACAGACCCAGAGAAATAAAATTACAAATAGTAAAAAAAAAAAAAAATAAACCTCATGCAACCACATTATGTATTCAACTTGCAGTGCATTTTAGGAACCTAAGCACCAGCAGAGTACTGTAAACATATCCTATTCCACTTCATCTGTAAATATACCAGAGAGGATACTGTACTGCTACCTCAGTCATTTTTCTGGCCTGGTTTACTGTTATTTTCTGTAATAAATTGTTGGAAAATACTGTAATTTATCCCAATTGGCCAGTCATTTTTATGGGATGGGAATGTTGAAAATTAAATCAGCAGCAGTCTGAAGAGATTTGGGGTAACATCTCTAATGGCTGATCTTCTGATAGTGGAGGATCTATCTAGCCTCTGGATAACAGGCCAGATATGCTGATTTATGAGCTTCTCCGCTTTGTCCCGCAGGCAGGCGATGGTGAACAGCCGTGTGGAATCCGCCGCCGTCGCGGTAACCGGAGGTAGTGGGGCGGTGCGCTCCTGTGCAGGCTGCGGAGGTCGGATCTCGGATCGCTTTCTGCTCTTCTCCATGGAACGGTACTGGCACACACGCTGCCTTAAGTGCTCCTGCTGCCAGGCTCAACTGGGAGAGATCGGCAGCACCTGCTTCAGCAAAGGAGGAATGATCCTCTGCAGGAATGATTACATCAGGTACTAAATGAAATGGGCAGTCAGATATTTGACTGAGATAGAAATGTTGAATAAGACCAAATAAATGATGTTACTGGTCACTGCATCAGTCGTAATATGTTAGACGAGGAGGACTGGAAACAAATCGATAAAGTGTCATTGATTGTGAACTTCATCGCTGTTTTATATCAGTTGAGACATCCTTATCTCCTTTCCAGATTTAGTATGCTTTAAGGTTATATCAGTCCAAATCCGATTATTTGTGTATCTGATCTAAAATTGACTGTCCACGTTGTGTAAAGGAATTGTCTAGATCCAATTTGTGCGTCCATGCCACTCTTTCGTTTTCTGGAATATCTGCATTGGTTTCTATGGCAATGGTGTTGGTAGGTAGGTATACAATAAATAACAGCAACCGTAACATGGAGGGGTTTGCAATACGACAATTCACCATGACGTCACCACAGTAATAGACGTTCTTCCGGGTGGCAAAAGCCAAAGTGTTCGTATGGTAACGCTAGTAAATTGCTTGGAAGGGAGACCCACCGTCAAATGTAAAAATGTAATAAATTTTTTGCAATATAATGCATTTTTTATAAGTACAACTGTTTTTAATGATAAGTAAAAAATATAATAAATATGTAATATAGTATTTTACCTACACATAATTAGTAAAATACTCTCTAGCTCATTTTTCTTGCCAAAATAACATGCTATATAGCCTATCATGGTCTTTAAATGGCTTTCCTGTGGTAATTGTTATGTGACATTGTTCTTCAGCTGTTATATTAACCTGTTTGCGTGGTTGAAAACACTGATTTGTCGATATTATATATGAGGAATATACATTTCGGTAAGTTGCGTGAGAAAATGGATGTGTGGCGTGAGAGCGTGTGAAAAGTGACAATCGCGTGAGAGCAGCCCTCTTTTACTTTAGGCAGTGACTGGCAATGAGTCTCATCTTCAAAAGAGACAAGTTTACTAATATTCGTCTCGAATGATAGTCCTGGCTAAAGATAAATGCTCTGCTATGATTTTTTAGATGGACCGTTTTGGGAAAACACAAAGCAGAGTTGAAGGGGTTGGCAGCAGAAATGTAAACAATTGATGAATCATATAATTTAGGACATCATTAAGATTTCCTACTTTTGACGACACGACGTTCACCCGCTATAACCTCCGTCCTCACCCACTAGAAATTGATACCCCTACACCTTTTGCTGTAAATCTGGCAGCGCAACCCCAAACACAAGATGTTTTCATCATCGATTCAACTTTGATCAACAACGTGTTTAACTATGTAACTGTTACAGTAGCCGGCTTGATCTCTTCAGTTAGTCGACATATAGCGCCATTCCACTATGGGTGACCTGAGTTCGAATCCTGACTCGTGGACCTTTCCCGATCCCGTCCCCCGTCTCTCTCTCCCACCTCGCTTCCTGCACTCTGTACTATACCATCCTATCACAATAAAGGCAAAAATGACCAAATAAAAAAAGAGATCATGTTTTCTTTACAACATGACAATGCGTAGCTGCCGCGCTGGACTACTGTCTTCTGAGGCAGTGGCAGAACTATAGGAGGCTAGTATGAGTCGTCTCTGCCGGTTTCAAAACCTGTGTCTGATATATTGACATTTTCTGCTCGTCCGGCACTTTGCAACAGCACAACCTTGTTCTGCAGCAACTTTCAGCAGGTTTTCACATAACAACGTCTGATGTTTATGTTTTGCGTGGCGTGAGAGTCACAATTATTATTATTTTAAACCTAATTTGTAAAAATCACATTTCACATGATTATTTTTGGCGTTCACACATGCTAAATCTGATCAGTTTTCAATCGAATTATACACAAAAAAGGTGTATTTGGACTGACAGTCTGAGCGTAGCCGAAGTTCAGGTGAATGGCCTGAAAGGCTCAGGATATTTATACAGGCTTCCACAGACTTGTAAATTTGTGCTTCATATTTAAGCAAGGAAACCAATAAATCCCTTCACACTACCATATCTTGCTACCACTTCATGCATAATCAAACAGCCATTTTTTTCTGTTTATGATGTTGGGTATCTTGTGCAACTTTTGGTTGTGCAAGGCTTTTCTATTTTTATTGTTTAATAGTTTTGTCCAAGATTAAACTGTCAAGTTTAACACATTTAAATGAGTAAACCACATGTTAATTCATCCATTTGTGAAAATAATTTTCAGTTTTTGAATGCAGCGTCTGTCATACTTATTTTAGACATCTTTTTTTGTGGCAACACATTGGAATATATGTTACTGCGTGAACTGTAACAGGACAAGAAAAGTTCACCAATTATGACAGGAAGTGTGTGGGTGCATGTAACATGGCATCTGGAGCAGCCAAGACTCCCCAGATGTTTTTCATGTGCTGTACACTGCTATAGATTCAAGCTGTATTGTTTAACCACACAGTCCGTGATCAAATTAGAGCTCTACGCAGAATTGTAATTTTTTCATATATTTTGACTAGTCTGCAAAACAACTGGAAACTTGATTTGCAAACCCTAACAATTGACTGTTTAATTTTATGGCAGTTTTAGCTGAGGTCTGTGATTGCATATGTGCCATATGATTATTATATCACATAACTCTTTGATTGAATTTGGCCTCTATTCCCTTGTATATTTTGAGCTGAAGGCTCCAGAGGTGAGGAGATTAGATTATTTTATAATCGCTGAGTCTTTGAAATTGACCTCTGTGTGTTTGGATGTGTGCAGTGATGCATTGGTCCATGACGGCACAGCATTGTTGCCTGTAAGACCCACTCTGGTTTGTTTGGACCCCAACCAGTGATGTCTGACTATTTGGCATTGCCACGCAGATGTTTTTTTTTGTTTTTTTTTTGTGTGTGTGTGCCTGTGATTGCTGTAGAAGTCTTTCTGACTCCAAAATCAAAAAGAAACTTTACAGTCCTGCCCTATTTTAAACTGTCACTGATGCAAAATATCTGTCATAGTTGTAAAAACAGTATTTTTTTTCTTTAAAAATGTATATTAATATAATCGATTTATATTAGCTATTATTTTATATTAATGTATTTTATACTTATGAAATTATAATTATTAAGTCACATTTATGAATGTATTCATTCATATTATTATTGATGAACATTACTTTATTAATATGCCTATAATATAACGTGCTTGAGACTGACCTGGGTTAAAAATAATATAAAATATAATTTATAATTGTATATTAGATTCCTATCAAATGTTTATTTATTCATTTATAATTATTATATGTACATTTTAGATGTATTATTATTAGTTGATGTAGTATTCATATTATTATGCATTAATATACCAGCCAATAAATAAAAATAGTTTGTTGTGAGACTGACTGAACTGGTGAAAAATAATTATAAGTGATTTATATTATTATATATATATCATATTATATCAATATAATGTATATTATGCCTATTTTATATTATTTTTCATCAGTTCGGTCTCCTTAATAGTTACTGCACAATGACTCGCAACCTATCAGTACTTGTTTCATGACAAGTTTTGGATAACTCAAGTGAGAAAAAAACTTTTTTTTTCTCTCTCTCTCACAAAGGGCATCTCTTACAGCACTAATTCAGCAAGCATGTTATAAGTGTCAAGAGTGGTCTTGGGGATATTCCCTTTAATAGTGCATGTAAGGTGTACTCAATCTGCAGTGTATTAAATATGTATAATACAGCTAATCAAAAGGGCAGAGCTTCATTACCAAATGACACTGCGTGGAGCCTGAGGTCTGATAAAAATAGGGTGCATTAATTAGGGAGAACAGAGCTCCTTTCTGCTGTCTCTTATTAAATTACTGTTTGGATTAAGATCAAAAATTCATTACTGCGAGCAGTCAGAGCTGGGACAGTGATAGCAGAGGCGGGGTAGAGAGAGAGAGAGAGAGAGAGAGAGAGAGGGGTAGTGGGAAGAGGAGAAAGTGAGGTGGTGAGAATTAGCTGCCAAACTGGTCTGGTTACCGTCACAAAGACCCCTGAGAGGGAGCGGAAGAAATGTTTCCAACTGAAACATGACTGACATGGTGGCTCCAGGTGTTCTGAATGAAAACAAGTTGTATGTGTGCGAGTGGAATGCTTGTATGTTGCGTGTTGTTTACTACATCTGGGTTTTATCTCTACGACCGAGTGCGTGTGTCCTTATAGCTCATCAAGAGCACGACTTGAGCTCATTTGAGTTCTCCTAAAATTGCCCATAGCAACCTCAAGCACAGGCAGCAGAGTAATCAAGTGTACCCTAATTAGGAGCCAAGGGTGGATCAGAGGCTCCTCTAGCCACCCCCCACCCATTGCCACCAATTACACTGCCTCTCCAGATTAGCTGATAGGCTGCAGTCTAAGGACTATTAGGGCTTTGGTGCCCAGCCATCCAAGCCACGCTCGCACGCACAAACACACACATTGCAAAGCACTCAAACTTCAAGCTATGGGTGTAAAAGTGAATTTCCCCTCGTGTGGAATGGAAAGAAGTGAATTAAGAACTTATAGAAGTTTTATTTTCTGGGTGGTTTGTGTCATTTTGTAAAATGTTAAACACTTTTTATCCCTGAAGTGAGAATGTCAATTAAAGAAACATGCATTTTGGATGTTAAAACGCATCAATGTTGACTTGGTTTAAGCTGGTCTCTTGTCATTCTTTTAAAATATTTGTGAGTATTAATTGGTGTTTCCCCCCCCACTTTGCAGGTTGTTTGGTCACAGTGGAGCTTGCAGTGCATGTGGACAGTCTATCCCTGCCAGTGAGATGGTGATGAGGGCCCAGGGTAACGTCTACCATCTAAAGGTGAGCCATAGTCTGTTGTCAGTAAATGCTCATCTTTATCTGATTTCTGATTCATCTGTGCAGGTTTCTTTTTTTAGATCTGCCTTCTTTCTTTTTTTTTTGTCTTTTTCATAAATCGGTAACACACAGATGGAAGAAAAAAATCTGGCCATACTGTCATTATATCCAAAAACGAAATGTTAGTTTAGTTCTCGCGATGTGGAGATGTGAAGCCATTTGTGCATTTTAAGAGCGAGTGATAAATTCACTCATGCCATTTGTGAAGTCACTTCTCACAGAAAGTATTCAAAAGTTATTATATAAAGATTAATGAATTGTACATCACCTTTAGTATTATATATATTTTTTTACCTGCACTTGACAGAGATTGAGACGGCGCCGCTGCAAGTCCTCTCATGGTAGGCACGCATTTTGCGTTATCAGCTTGATCGGTTTTTGAGACCGGCAAATTGAAAGATTGCCGATCAAGTCTTTAGTAGTGATTATCGGCTAAGAGCAATCTGTATGTGATCAATCAGAGCACCCCAATGTATGGATGGGTAGGAATTTGTCATGGACTCAAATTCTATTACTAGTCATCAGACTTAACTCTTTTTACGGACTTGTTGTGACTAAATGATTAAACATGCTCATTTGTGATCAGATTAGCTGATGCCAAGACTCCTTCCAGTATGGAGAAGAAAAAAATCACTGTTTGTGTTTGAAGAATTCCATATGCAACATCCTTGTACACTTGTATGGTTACAATTTCTGAACCAGTCCCAAACATAAGGGAATTTGTTTTGTACATTGCAATTACCTAATTCCCTTTGACACTGGCATGTAAGCCAGCAGGAATTGCTCAACATAAGCTTGAGACGATGTTTAATACGTAGTTAGATTTATGAAATGTTATTTCTTTTCAAGTATTGTATTGCAACTCCCTGAAGACTGGAAGTTAAAAGACTGAAATGCATAATTCTTGCAAAACAATGAGTTGGACCCACACATCCATATCTCTAGAGTGAGAATTCTAGGTATTATTGTATTAACGTATGCGTTTATGCTTCTCGTTATTTGGTTGTAATGGAAACCTCTGCAAAGACCTAAAGCAGTCTCTTTTTGGAAAATCTGTTTCTCTTTGAATTGTCAGCTGAAGTCTCACTTTTACTGAACACGGATAGCAGGATAATCTCAAGAGACGCCTGCCGAAACTCATCAACTAACCATTTTCCCAACTGCACCACACATTCCTCCTTAATTATAGCGGTGTAGGTGTCAACCTGTCTTAATAATATTTGATTGGAAAAGGAAACCATTCCCTGATTAAGCTGAGTGGTTCGGTTTGTTTTCCCAGTGGTCCTTGTTTGCATAAGTTTTCAAAATTGGGTAACTACATCCTGACAAAATTTCTAATTTGTGAGTGTCTGAAGAAATGTGAGCTTGGAGTGTAATAGATTTTTTCAAACAATGCAAATGTACCATATGTGAAGGTACTCTGGTCTCACTCATTTCCCCATTTCTATCAATAGTAGAAAACTTCTGTTTATTTATAGGACTTTTTCCTCATATTGGTGGTTCAATTTCAGTCTGTTTAAAGGTAGGGTATGGGATTTGCAAAACGGACGGCAGATTTTTAAAATGCACAACTCAAAAGGTCCTACCTTCTTTGCTCCAACGCTGGCCCTAACTCCACCCATTCGAAGAACATGGATGCGCAATCATGCATCTGCAAAACTCAGATGCGCAAGATCTCTCTCTCTCTCTGTGTGCGCTGGGGCGACTTGCACTTACTGTGACTGGGTCATGAGTTTTGAGTATGTGCACGAAGGGGAGTATGCTACAACCTTTTGTTTGACGCACATACAGTCCAATGATTCTAAGTGGAAATGATTGGCTGGAGTTTTTCGAGTCCTGATGATTAAATTGTTTCATTTTCATTAGTGGTTCTAACTCAGGCCCCGTCCACACTACTGCGTTTTCGTTTAAAAACGGAGAATTAAAACGAATACGATCTCCGTCTACACCAGCGTTTTATCTGCGTTTTCGAATTGATCTCCGTCCACATTAAAATGACTGAAAACGCGGATCACGTAACCATTAACCAACACTGAGCATGCGCGTGCCGGTATAAACAGTGGCTGACGAATCAGGGAAGGACACGTCATGACTGATGACACCCAATCATAGAGCCGAGCGTGAGCTTCTGCGTCATCGTTTGTAAACTCCTCCGTTTTGTCCCGTCTACACTCTAACACTCTCCGGAGATACAAAACGCAAAACGGAGCTGCAGCGTTTCTAAACTTCTCCGTTTTAGGTCTTCGTTTTAGTCTGGACGGGAGGTGCAAACGTAACAAAAGGTCTCCGTTTTTAAACAAAAACGCAGTAGTGTGGACGGGGCCTCAGTGGCTGTAAGTGGGTTAGGAATAGGGTTTCAAGTGATTTTGAAAAAAAATGGTCAAAAGAAAATCGCACACCCCACCTTTAAAGTGTAGGTCACATGATAATAACAACATGGAGAATTACACGGCGTATTACATCCGAATTTCATTCATATTACAATATAGTTTTGTTTTTTTTACTGTCAAGTTACAAACCAAATATAGTACCTACTATACAGTATGCAATTTCCGATGCATCACCCATTTATTTTTCAAAAATGTCTCATTGATCTAATTTTTTTTAAAACTTTGTAATCAAAATGTCATGACTCAATCTTTCACTTAAACTTTCCTTTTCTTACAGTCGCCTGTAAGCTCGCATTCAGCTGACCTGCTTCTATCCAATCAACAACTGATTGATTGAATCAAGTTGCTACACTTATCAATAATCTATTTTACTCAGAAGTGTCGCCTAATGGAACTTCCATTTCACTCGACTTTAACACTTTTTTTTGTGGTAAAATGGACTTGAAATAAAATAAATCTTTTTTTCTCTTCCAGTGTTTCACTTGTGCCACATGTCGAAATCGCTTGGTGCCTGGTGACCGATTTCACTACGTCAACGGCACCATCTTTTGTGAGCATGACCGGCCAGGTGGAGCTTTGCTCAGTAGTCACCTGACACCCCTGCAGAGCAACACCCTCCTATCCGATCAAAAGGTATGACAAACACTTTGTGTAAATGTACATTTATGATATGTGATGATATATGTTGTGGTGATATGAATGGTTACTTTTACACATACACATACCCACACCCGCTCACATACACGCTTAGATCAAACGCTTAAATCACTCTTGCCACTGTTGGAATTATGGATTTACAAGATTGCTCACTACTGGACTATGTTGGTTTGTATGTATGTCTGACTGTTAAATAAAAAAATGGTACCAGATGATAGAAAAACATGTAAAAAAAATGAGAAAGATGACTATATTGCATTATTCTTCCTAGTTAGAAAACAAACTGATTGGCTACTTGGTTCTTTTTGCACAGGTTTGCTGAAGGAAACATGGATGTATCATTTGCGGTGTGCCTTTTCTTCATATTTTTCCTCAACTCTTCCCTCCAATCAATCATTGTGAATGTCCATGCCACTTTTGTGCATTCAGCCACCTTAGAAGAATTCAGAACCACGCAAGTACTGCGAGTCACTTGCAAGACAATCACCCCATCGTGGGAAACCTAATCAAGTCGAAGAAAGACAAAAGCTAAAAAGGATCATGTGCACTCATATGTGGTCTGTCTGGTTATGGCTGGGATAGTCTGACCCTGAAAGCCGTAGACTCCATGAAAGAGCAGCTCTATATTGCTGGGGTGATGCTCAACATGATTTTGTTCCCTTTTGAGAAGTCTCTCAAGGAATGTCGTGGCATTTTGGACTGTAGGGTTCTATGGATGACGATTGATATCACTTCTTGTCAATAAAACGACATCCGTATATAAAAAGACTGTTAAAAATGACCATTTTGTTGCAGTGGTGGTTGCCTTTTGTTTACAAGCCAAGTTTTATCTTTTATCTTTTTTTTTTTTTTGAAAATGTTCTGTCGTCTTTGGTGCCTAAAACATTTTTATGTCCAGTTTTCCCTCCTATTAGCAAGTTATCATATACATGCACAGTACAGATGTGTGAACATGTATTGTTACAACTACTCAAGTTTGACGTATGAGGCGCTCTTTTTGAAAGGGTCATAGTCTCCAGATGAAACGGCATGTTTCCCCCCCCCCCCCCCAATGGTTTGGTAGAATAAATTCTATGTCTGTATCATATTCTCTAAGAGAGACTGTTATTCATTGTCTGCCAAGACATTTGTTGTGAGTGTGAGGGAGATTTGAGAGTAAAATTGTATATATTTCATGTGCTGTTGTATCGTGTTCAATGGTTGACCTGTTTCCTTGTGTCCTCTGTTTAAATAGAGGAACCATTAAAAAAAATAAGATATCTGTAAAAAAAAAGAAGTACTTAATTAAATAACTATAACCATCAAAAATGCTGTCTTGACATCTCTGCTCAGTGTACATCAACATTTGATGGTTTTGGCTTGGCGTGTTGGACACTCATTAGATGTCGAGACGGCTCTCCAATAGTCCCTGGCCAAAAACATGGTTCATTACCCTCCAGAATTCAACACAAACTCTTGCCTCTGCATCATTACAGAGAGTAATGAAAGGCATTTGAGTTGGCTCTTTCTCCTGCCGTGATTTCAATCCGTGGGTCTTGCTAAAAGGAGGTCTCCTTTCTCCTGTGCATCTTTGTGTACGTCGCTACAAAAATAAACGTTACGCTCCCGCCATTTTCTTTCATCTGGCCCTCCTCTTAAGATTTTATTGACTTCTAAATCTGCCTTTTTCTGATCAGATTTGCAGGGGTATATGAGAATTTTTCTCATTATGACATTTCTGGTAATTGCTTTTTGGCATTAAACTCCCCAATATCTTGTTTATTTAATTGGCTAATTAAACCATCTCTCTTTTTTTCCAACCAAATACGGCCTGCACTCACAAGGTGTTCCTTTCCAATTTACTTTAACGATTAATAAAAAATTCCTTTCCCTTGTGTTTCTTATAAGAAAAATAGAAGCCAAGCATACCTCATTATGGCTGTTGGTGGGTGTGTATGTGTTGGGTAGGGGGTGTTAAAGCCAGCTGTGACTCTTCACATTGACGCATTCTGTATGCGTTTGTGGGATCTTAAAAGTCCGGAGGTTAGATCATACTAAAAACATCAGTGTATCTCCCTTTCAATAGATATGTATTGGGGTCAGTTAGATGTTATTTTTTAATGTCATCACAACACTTTTATAATTTTTTTAAAAGAATAAAATCGTTGTGAGTTAATCTCATTACTCTTTTTAATGTTGAATATAATCTCTTTATGTAAAAAAAAAATATACAGTACCTTGTTGGTGTGCATACAGGGTCAACTTAATAGACACTATCTTTTTATTTACGATATAAGTGGTCATTTGTACATTAAAATATACTGCTGCATTTATTTTATGATGCCCTTGCATTAGGATCATATTTTGGGGTCAGTAGTAGCATCAAAAGTAAAGGGGGAAAAAAAAGCTTTGATCACAGATATCATTGTCAGAGCAAACATAAGTCAGAATTAAAAACATCTTGAAATGAAAACTGCATTATGGTGAAAGCTTACACTATTGGGTCCATCCACTGTACTTCAGATTCAATGCTCCATAAGTATTCCGTGGCCTGAGATCGTTAAGGGAAGTATCAGAGTAATTCATTAACTTATGCAAATGATCCTAATTGCAATTATCTCCATATCTTGTTAAGTGAGAGGAGGGGTTAGTGAATCTCAAAAAATAAAATAAGAACTCCCTTGGCCATTCGAGTAGCTCTTTGCATTCAACCCGATCATGCTTCAACGGTGCATTTCTAATTAGTCTGACATATTCAAAAGCCAATTAACGGTTTCTCAAATCAGAGTTATACCATAAGGTTTTGCCAACTTGTAAAGGAAGGAAAAACTTTATTTTTAAGTGTACTGATTTAAAGAAGCCCTTATCTGTGAGGACATGCACACAGTTCCCCCCCCCCCCTCTTCAATTCTCTAATTAATCCAATTAACACATGCAAATTGGTGTAATTACATTGTTTCCTCACCTCATGTTGTGTGAAGATGGGGAAGAAGCAGAACAGATGAAGAAGGGATATTTTTTTATCAGACAGTGATTAATGCACAAACTGTAGACATCTAGATTACTCCTCAACACAACTACCCAATCACGGCAACTACAGGTCAAAGAGTCGACCACATTGTGATAACCTACCTACAACATAAAGACTATAACAATGGATCATGCATCGTTCTTTGTGCAGTTTATTCTATAAAAATATTCAGACAATAAAGGCATGAATGCATCTGCCTAGTGCATAAATATCTAAAATTCAAAAGTTGTGGAAGCAGCTTAGTTATATGTGCATCATTCATTCATTCATTAACTCCCACAAGTGGATGAGAGCACCGACACATTGTAAGACGTCCAATATAATATCTCTGTGTAATTAAATGTGTGCTTACCACAGCCAGAATAACCAACTCTAATAACTAAGAGACGTCCCACAAAGGCACACAAATCTGAACATCGAATCCAATGCTCAGTCATTTAATATAATAAGTCATAGGAGAAGGCTTTTGGTTTAATACCCTGCTTGTTCTACTTCAGTGACCTGAAACTCTTGTGCACTGCTATCTTGTTTCAGCAGCCAATGGAGTCAGATCCCGTTGCCTGCCTCTGATATGACTATGACCAGGCCTCTTTACTTGTCTCTGATCTGTTTTTAAGCTGCCAGCACCATAAACTCTACAGCTGTTTGGCTTCGGTGGTAGAGAAGCAGTGGAGAAGAGTGCCAAACCGCATATTGGACAGACAGAAACGGGGAAAGGCTGAAGACGTGTAAGGAAACTTTACAATCAGTTTAGACTCACTGAATGCTGATTGTACGGTCTTCTTCAAGATGACAGATAATAGATCAAATTCAGAGTACACCTTATTAAAGTGACATGACCTGAAGGCCAAGTATGGTAACCCAAACTGCACGTAGTGAGTAGTGAACAGTAACAATGGACACACACAAGAGCAGTGAGCAGCCATTTCAAGCAGATGTCCAGAATATGAACGCAAAACACCTAATTTCTTTATAATGGTTTTCTATGGAAAAATGCTTAATGGGAATTGGAACCTGTGAGTTGCCTTAAAATTCTGGGTTTATCTGCTCGCCTGTATATAGTACATTTTATTAATAATGACACGTGTGTTTTCATATCGAGCATTTTGCACACAAATTCTCTGACTTCTGTGACTTTTTGTTGTTGTTGCAGCTAAAATAACTGGAGATGCCTGACAACGAAAGCATTACACATTTAAATTTAAAATGGCCATGTCTAGTCTTACATTAAAAATAAGGTGGAAAGAGAATACAAATGTTATAACTTCTGTGGTATTTGTATCAGTCTTCCCGTTTGTTTCTTTTAGGTTTCATTCAAACTGGCAAGGCGGCGCCGTGACAAAAAAATCCAGGGTCCTAGAACTTCGGTCCTGAAACTGCAGGAATATAGTATTGGAAATGTAAACTAATCAACAAAATGTAATGTCACTCATTGCTTATTGTGGTTGCGGCTGGTTAAGACACAATGCTATCCCTTTCTTTCTTTAAACAGATAAATTAACCAGGAAAAAGAAAAAAGGGTAAAGGTTGAGGTGTTATTGGCAAGATTGAAAGACAGGTCAGCCCTCATTAATGGCTCGCATTAGCAGACTTAGCAGAGCAGTTATTGTTGCTAATGACCATACCTGCTTTACTTTTGCCAGCCAGAGTCAGCAAACAGCCCCAAAGGTGTTTATTTGCCAGATATATACAGTATTGTAAAGGATATAATTTACTGATAGTCAGAATAATTTTGGTTGCCAGCTCATCTTAGTACCGAGGGATTTATGTGGTGGTCTCGCCCCTCAGGGAAACAAGAATAGGCTTAGTAGACACTGTTGTCCCAGCAGCAGGGGGTGTGAGGTCACTTAAAGGGGTGGTAAAATGCCATTTTCACAAGATGTAAACTAAATCTTTGATGTCCCCAGAGTCTGTGTGTGTGAAGTTTTAGCACAAAATACCCCACAGATATTTTTATATAGCTGTTAAAGTTGTCATTTTTTGAGGGTTTGCAAAAACGCACCGTTTTGTGTCTGGCCCTTTAAATGCAAATGAGCTGCTGCAGAGGGCGGGGTTTCAAGAGCTCTTGTGTGTTAGCAGCTGCGATTTCCTCACGCAGACACACTAAAATGACAGAAACTGCTCGCTCTTTAATGTTAAAACGGAGTCAATCAAAGATGGAGACGTCTCTGAGTGATTAGTTGATGAATTTATGTTGCTGATGTGGAGTTAATTATCTTCAATTAGGATATTCTGTCATGTAATCTATAAATCGCTCATATAGGAACTGTTGTGAGATGCACACGGAGTGACTTTCTATAGCATGTGAAAAGATGGATGCCAAAGTTTGAGCTGACTCACAAATGTACTCTGATACAAACACTCATCCTCTTCTTAACACAGACTGCATGTTCCCGGGGGCGGGGTTTATGTACATTTTAGGGTTGGTGATGTCACTAACGCTGGAGGATCATCATGTAGTCCCTACCAGCCGTTTGTTGTAGTCCTTTTCTTTAAAAGCAAATATCTTCCTTTGCTTTGAACTTTGAGCGTTGTAACTTTGATAATGTTGTGTGTGCGCGATAATGGAAGTCCTCAGACATCAGGCCTGCAATGGTGCTCCTGATCTATCAGAGGAGGCATAATCACAGAACAGAATGATAGTAATACGGAATTCCTTGCACGACTGATGTCCATACATGACATTCATTCAGGTTATTCGAATTAGCATCATAAGAGTAACTCACGTAGCGGCTCTTGGGTAGTGTGAAGTCATTACTAATCATCTAGACCTGACGCTTTGATTCTGAGTGGCTAAGTACAAGCAACATGTGAGAAGTGGCCGTACGCAAGAAAAAGTGAAGGTACGCTAAAGAATATAGAAGTGCCAGTCCACATTAAGCACTGCATCCGAAATCGTATAATGTATGTATTAAGTTCGTTTAAAACTTACTTCTCTTCAGACATACTACATCCGCCATGTTGTCTTTGTCATGTGACCTACATCAGTTCAAAAAATCCTCTCCTGTGGCCTCATGGGATAGTAAAGTGTCCGAATGCACAGATTGCACACTTCAAAATCTCACGAGTTATAGTATTATCAGGGTATTTTTCACTTAATATTTTATGAATCCTATGAATTCGGAACTCGGGTCACATACTTTTTTTCGCCTACTATATAGGGTTAATTTCTCAGTTCAATGAACATCTGATACACTAAAGTGGAAACGTTTTTGTGAAGGCAAAAGTTCTGGGAGCTTTTAGATTTCTGAGTGATTTCATTGAATTAGTTTTGTGTCCTCTTCCATCTACATTGGAA